TTGTGTGTGCTCTATGTGTGGTACCTCCACACACAGGATGGGAAGTCAGCAGCGTTGTCAAATGTTTTCTCTTTGTCACTTCCTCCTCTGGAGAATTTACCAGAGATCTCCCCATTGGGCATCTTGGGCTTGCAAAGAGCAAGTTGCCTTGACAACCGAGAAGTGCATCCTCTGGTGAACCGCTGATTCCCTGCCTTTTGTTGGCTGGAATACTTTTCCATGGGAAATGACAAGCGTTTCTCCCTTCTGGAGCTGTGTTTGAAGTGTGCTGGGGTGTGGCAGCAGGTCTGGGCTGTTCTGGAACCCCACGTTGGTTTTCCGTATGGGAACAAATCCAGTGTTAGTGAGCTGACCACAAGAGATAAGGAATAATGAAGTTGAACGATACAGGGTGTTAAAGCACTAGCACTGTGATATGTAGCTCGTTGCCCTAAAGAGACTGAAAGCCAGAATGTGGTTTCTAAATTCTTCATGAATTTTATTCATTTATTGGCTAAAGGGAAGAATGACCAATTCAATCTTTTTGCTCTGGAGTCTTAATTTTCTGAACTAGAGATAATAACCGGAGGGCAGAGGAGCCACAGTGCAGATTTATTGTTTTGCCCCATTACGTTGTCTTCACAGCAGAGAATCAGACAGAAAGTTTTGAAGAGACTCAATGAGAATTTGCAGTTGAAAGTTTAATGCAATAGTAAATTACTATTCCCTAAATCACTTGTTTTGCTTCTTTGCACCACACTTCTCATTAGGTGTTAGAGAAGCCTTTTTTTTTTTCTTCTCATATAGAATCATAGAATAGTTAGGGTTGGAAAGGACCTTAAGATCATCCAGTTCCAACCCCCTGCCATGGGCAGGGACATCTCACACTAAACCATATCACCTAAGGCTTCATCCAGCCTGACCTTGAACACTGCCAGGGATGGAGCATTCACAGCTTCCCTGGGCAGCCCATTCCAGTGCCTCACCACCCTAACAGGAAAGAATTTCCTCCTTATATCCAATCTAAACTTCCCCTGTTTAAGTTTTAACCCATTACCCCTTGTCCTATCACTACAGTCCCTGATGAAGAATCTCTCCCCAGCACCCCTATAGGCCCCCTTCAGATACTGACACCTGTATCTAGATACAGATATCTAGAAAAATTGCTACACTTGAATTAAATGTGCAGTAAAAAACCAGTTTTACTGCACAACCTGAAGTATCATTTCCAAAAAGCACATACCAAATGAGAGACTCTGCAGTGTAACACACTGCACCTTCGTAACACTCCATGGAGGAGTGAACTTGGACTCAATATGTGAAGTGTGTCTCACCTGTGGTTTCAGGGTAAACGAACTGGCCAAGATAAGGTGCGTCCAAACCAGAGGAAGTAAGATGATGTGCATGTCTTGTTTTCTTCTTAGATTAACTCTGCTGCTACCGTGCAAACTAACTTACCTTTAACATACAGTTTTCCTGGTTGGTTTGCTGCAAGCTGGCTTCAGTGTAATGATGTTGTGGGTTCATCAAATATATTAACCAAGCAGTTGGAAATTGAAAATTAATCCAGGGCTGGGAATGCCATCTTCAACGTCAGCAAGTTTTGATATCCATAAAAAGAAAAGGTGGATTCAAGTAGGATTCTGCTCTTTTCAACTTCAGTCATGGTACAAGAGGCAAAATACCATTGCTCTTTTCCAGTCAGCTTTTATGAATCATTTGCATTACGTCCCTTCTGTAGCTGCAGAACTGGTTTTGCTCCAGGAATCTGGAAGAGTGTGTTGGTTGCATGGCATTTTCTCTCCACACTATCCAAGGCGTATCAGATACAGCTCACTGAGAGCATGTTAAAACATTCCCTGTTCCTGACCTTATGAGAACACACATGTACTGCAGCTGGCTATGGATCCACAGAAACTGGAATACCCCCTGGGTCTCCTTATCCCTCTGTGATTGGTCATGTTGGTGCATCAGCATTCCCAGGAGCTCTGGAAATCACCTCTAGCCACAGTCTGTCCTGGTCTTAGTGCTTAAGTTAGCCTTAACAGTGCATAAGCCTCAAATAGATTCTTTTGCTTTCTAATAAACAGTAAAGGTCTTCATCATGGGCAGTCGTGGCTGCAGAGGTGACAGTAAACGTAATGGTGTGTGCTTTTGCATGTAATTTATGTGAATTAAAATGCATCAGTAATGTAATGTTTTGCCTGTTATATATATTTTCCTTGTGCTCCTCTCCCTGGCTGTATTTTAACAGTAGTTTGGAAATACCTGAAATACATCAATTGTTTTTTATGTGAAAAGACAGTGTCCCTGTTGAGAGATATTATTGAGGTGTTCAAAAACCTGAGGGAAATATCTGCTCAGCAAGTTATTTCCCAGGCAGGTCATAGGAAGAGATGAACATTTCTCTGTATGAAGAAAGTTTGCCAGTCAACACCCTGTGTATAACTTGTATAAGGCACAACATTCATTCAGTTTGTAGGTTTTCTGTAAAGAAAATGTTGTAGATTTGCTGGTTTTAATGTAAAGCAGTTTTAATACTTGGAAGACATTTTCCTGATCCTTTGGTCATAACCAGACATCATTAGCTGAGTTTCTGGCATACTTTTGTCTTGCCCCCTATTCTGCATTAAGTTCTGTAATGAAGGGCAAGGTTAAAGGCTTTCCTTATACCCATCAATGTCAGTTATTACTGATGAGTTCTGACATCTCTGCTGAGTATAGAAACTTCCATGAGGCTCATAAGAGATGTTTTGGTTTAGGGTTGTGCTTCAGGGTGAACTTAATAACATGGGATATACACAGCAGATAATTCTCAAAGACAGGTAATAAGTAATAGATCTTTCAGGGTTTCTTTCTGCCCCCTCACAAACTTGGTGGCACAGGTAGCATCTGTAATGGCTTCCCTATGTTTATCTAACTTTATTTCCATGCCTGTAGCTTAATTTTGCTCCAGTATCTCTGTAAATTCTTTTAAACAGTACTAAGAAGATGATAAAGTGGTATGCCTGAAGCTAAGTCATAATTGAAACATGTTGCTGTAGTGTCTTGGGAAGCTCTTAATGCATCATCTACGAAATGCTTTGATTTGGTTTATTATTGTATCCTGTATTGTATTGTATCCTCCTGTTACATGCTTGCCAGTGTTGAAATTCCCAGTATACTTTTACTAGGACCTTAAGCCAGAAAGGAGTTACAGGAATTCACATTGAAATGTGAAGAACTTTCCTCAGCACGCTCATGAGCAGTGTCCTGGCGGAAGGGAAATACGGACCTTTGATACGGGTCTGAGAATTTAATAATTTAATAATAATGTTGTTCCGAATTACACATTTTTTGACCAAGCTGTCAACAACCTACCCCAGTGGGTTTAAAGTATAAGAAATAAAGCTGGTGTTTTCCATTCAGTGCCTGATTTGGAACTCAGTTCTTCAGCGGAAAGGCGGATATTGAAATTGCTTCTTGTTTCTGAGGAGCAGGATCTTTTTTCTGATATCCCATCACAGAGGCATGGCCAGCAAAGCTCTTTCTTTAAACTATGTCTTTATCTTGTTCAAATAAAGGATATTGGGAGTTTTCTTCCTTTTTTTGTGCTGCTTTCATGCAAGCAAGTAATAATGGTGATGGAAGAAATTGCACATTTTAAGCTGTATTGCAGTTTAAAAAAGAGAGATCACAATTGCCAGAATTCATATCCCAGGTATCAGAGTCTGCATTTATAAAGTTGAAGGAAGAATCATCCAATTTGATTATGCTTTTCGAGTGACACGTGGTTATTCTATCAGAGGATTACTTGACATTATTGCCTGCAGTAGAAGAGTACTGGAGTCCATGGATCGAGTCTCCCCTTTCAATCTTAATGGTTTTAAACTTGTCTGTGGAGGGGAAAGTTTGTATCTCCCAGTTTCCAGCAAGGCTGCCAAAGGTATACACGAGGCCAGGCTTCTGAGATGATTTATTGCATGACTTTGAATAAACTTTTATTTCTGTGAGTTTCTTTGTAAAACAGTGAGAATGCACAAATACTATACTTCTGCAGTGAGAAAAGTAGTTCTTAAACATGGAACATATATCAGTGGCACAAAGTAAATTGACTGTATTAAAAGTGATTTACCAGACTCACTAGATAGATGGGGGGAAAACGCTTCTATCCCAAAGGCTTTACTTCTGCAGGTATATGGGATTGTTTTGAGAAAAAGAGGGATATTATGTTGTAGCCTGCATTGGCTTTTGGTGAGTCTTTCTTTTTCTCTTCTATTAACGTTGAGATTTGAAATGCAATTTACTTGAACAATTATATGGTGTCTCTTATGAAATACTGAGACTGTTGCAACCTTCCACAAACCAGACTCTGTTGCCGAGGCAGAGCCTTTGTATGTAATATTTCCCTTCCTCCCTTTTCCAGATCAACACTTGATTGAAAATCAAAGTTGATCGTGTTGCTGGTTTGAAAGTGGCCATGTTCATCTGCATTAATTCTCATGTGTGGGTTTTTTTCCTAATGTAGGTAATATTTCGTAATGCATGTCAAAGATTTCCTAACTCTTGCTGTGCAATGATGTGAAGAATTACATTTTAAAAGAGAATGTATTGAAGAGTCTGTTTATGCCCTAAAATACCCTCTGTAGATCGTAGCATGACATTTTTGAAAAGCATTTTTTGTATTTTCAAACAAAAACACCAGATAAGGCTGCGTTTGGCATGAAAATGAGTGATTTCTTTCTTCCTTTGGCTTTGGTTTTTGCTTTGGTTTTGCTCTTCTAAGCAGATATCTGCCTTTATCTGGTTATACATGAACACAGTTTCCTACTTCATTTGGTGATGTCAAAAGTATTGTTGGAATGAGTCTTTGAAGTTGTGTCTGTGTAGCTTTTGTTATGCAGCCTTTCTCCTGGGAATGCCACCTCAGATCCGGTGATCTTCAATTCTAACCTTCACCCGGTGATCCGTTCTGCCAAGGAAACTGGCAGCTCTTCTTACTTTCCTGTTTTTGTGTGTGTATGTGTGTGTATGTTCTTCAGAAAGCCAAACTTGGGCCAGCTGGTAACAAAGTCATTACTCCAACAGAAGACAGGATCTCAAGTGTGCCATCCAACAATCTGGACAGGGTGAAGCTGACAGACTTCAACTTTCTCATGGTTCTTGGAAAGGGGAGCTTCGGGAAGGTAGGAATGAATTCTCAATAACTCTTCCAGTCACATTCTTCTTTTTTCCTTTCTGTCCTTGAGGAAGGCTGAATTTACAGATCTGTAAGAAGCAAAATCGAGAGCCAAAAGGATGTGCATTTTTAGGGAGGATTTTTTAACATGGAAAAGGGTGATTCCTTAAGGACTAGCAGGCTTCAGTTAGGATTGGCAGTATAAAAATAAAAGCACTCAGGCTGTTGGGCAGGATGTAAGAAACATCCTTTTAGATCCTCACTTCTTGGCAGTTTCGATGAAATCAAGTCTACTTTTCTGGCTTTGCCACCTAGGTCACTGCTGCTTCTGGAAGTCATCAACATTGGTAAGGCTGAATAGTGGGGGAAAAGCAGGAGTAGCATATACGTATTTGAAATCTGGTAGTTCAGAGAAAGGGCTGCTGGTTTCCTCCCTATTTCAGCAAGTACTTCTGTGATAAAGTGCCCTTTACTGAAGAAGTCCCTAGGGACCTAACATTTTATCGGCCCTTTGGCAATGTGCCTGCGATTAACCAGAGGGGTTTGGCACAGGCTTTGTCTGAAATGACTGGTACAGCTCATTGCAGTGGGTGAGCAATGGTGGTATTTTTGGAGTTTTGATCAAGTTAGTCTATACCATTAAAAGGAAAAGCTGGATTGCTGTCTATACAAATCTTCGGGCATATAAGTCACCTTTTCTCCTTGGCAGGTAAGGAAGATTTTCACCCTTTTGCCTCTCTTTGTGCAGGTGATGCTGGCAGACAGGAAGGGGACAGAGGAGCTCTATGCAATCAAAATACTGAAAAAAGATGTGGTGATTCAGGATGATGATGTTGAATGTACAATGGTTGAAAAGCGAGTCCTGGCGTTGCAAGACAAACCACCGTTCCTGACACAGCTTCACTCTTGTTTCCAAACAGTTGTACGTACAAGAGCTCTGTCCTTCTTGCAACCCTGATGTTTTCCATGCTGTGTGACCATGGATTTTATGAGTTCGGTAACATTTACTATCATCCAACCTATATATCATAGATTCTGTACACAGAATTTGGTGAAGAAATAGGTACTGCATGTAGTTACACTTTGTGTGTTAAATACAAAACCTAGGTTTAATTGCGTCTTTTCATACAGTAATTCAGGCAGACCAGTGTGACAATTCATAACTTAATAATGTGTGCTTTGCTAAGGCAGAGCCTTGAGCCCAGATCCCCAAAGGTTCCTGAATGCTCCTAAGGATCTGAGAATATAACTTGAAAAGTCTCAGTGGTTGTTATTATATCACGAGGTGATAGTCATGAATCAGTGTTGTAGGTTTTAATTCAGTTTTCAGGTACATCAGCACAGAGGGAAAACACTGGGGTTTTTCCTTCCTTCTTTATGAATATTTGAAGTGGACATTGCCCCACCACCCTGCAAAACATCTCCCAGGGACAGACTGCAGGATGGATGTGAGGGTCCAGTGACACCATGCCAGTCTATTGGATGATATGGAAAGCTGCATGGTAGAGAGTTGGCATTTAGTGTGCTTTTGATTTCCAGTGGGCATGGGTGCACAGCGCACCACTAGTGAACTGGCTCCAAATGTTCCAGACTGCTTAGAGGTCTTTATTCAGAAGAAACCAAGGCTCTTCTTGTCTCACTTGTAGCCATCTTATGATGGTTATGACAGTGACATTGACCTGGTGCCTCAGGGCTGTGTTGTCACTTGATGGGGTGATGGAAGGACACATGGTTGTTTTTCCACTTGAATATTCCTTATCTTTTACTTCTTACATTGTTGATGGCTTTTAATCTAAAAACAAATGAACAAGCAACAGACAGTTTGGATTAATAACATTGTAATGTTCCACAAGCAAGCCATGCCATCCTATCACCATTTCATAGCATAATTGTTGGTCTTGTTAGAGGCATTTTCAAACTCTTTTCAATGTCTACAAATCTCTGAGCAGAAAATGGCCTGAATGCAGCAGATTGGTAGACATAATTAATCACAGTAAAACATGAATGTGGGAAATATTGCACTTGGTAATTCTTGCTTGCTTTCTTCTGTTTTTGCTGCCTCTACTTACAATATGAAGATACTTATAAGAAGTCCTAGTCAGAAATAGATTTATATCTATATCTCCCTCTGGTTCTGTATATAACTTTATTAGTAGCCAAAAGGCTACTACTATTTTCATCAGTAAATGAAAAAATCAGTTTGTTTGGTCCTATTTTTCTTTTGAGCAACTATGTTTTAAATGAAAAATCTTAAAAGTATAGATGTCTGGTGTTTTCTGGCAAAGGGAAATGAAGGAAAAATAGTGGGGGTTTAGTATTGACGGTATCATTTTTTGTCTTACCATGTACAAGAGCAGTGGAGCTATGTAAGGCCTAGATAAATCGTTAACACCTTTGCCTAATTTATTTCATGTTTTCCAAAGTGTTGAGTAGTTTGCACTGGGTGTTATGAAATATTCTGGGGGCTTAATATTAGCTGTAAAAATGAGAAATTGTGTGTGAAGGCAAAGGCATAAACTGTGCTCGTAGGAAAATTGATGATTTTGGTTAGTGCTTGTAGATGTGGGCTCCTGTTTTGCAATAACACAATTCCTACAAAAATCTGAATTTTATAAATCAGATCTAGCCAGTGAAACACTTTGCTCATGGGTCTGTTGGACTCAGCTTAGGAAATCACAGTTTTGAAATGTATGTTAATAATCTGAAATCCTAGTTACTGGATGATGGGAGACTATCAATCAATGAAGGAAAGAGATTGAACAAAAGCATCTTACTAATGAATCTCTTTCGCATCAGAATATTGGACCCAGACTTTCCTACAAATACTTCAGGATAGTGATTCTGTCCAAAATAGCTGAAGGGAAATGAGAGGAAGCCAACAATCTGTCTTCCATAAGTGGGAGGAAGACTGTTAATGTATCTCATCTGCTGTCAGGATCATGGTATAACTGCAGAGGGTAGCGTTAGGTGGTCAGAGTCACCCACTCTAAATCACACATGTTTGTAAACAGTGTAGTCTTACAAAGTCACTTGGAAGAGCTCAGTTTTAGTCCTCTGAAAGCTGGTGAGCAGACCTACTGCTTGAAGTCTTACTGTCTGAAGGTCACTGTGGGAAAATACGACTGAAGTGCACTCAAGTATGTTATGGTTGTGTTTGATTTGAGATACCTGGATATGGCCTTTAGGAGTCCTCACTGGGCAAGAAAAATCTCCCTCCAAAATACTTTACTGCCATTTTCCTCTAGCTGAAATATGTGCCTGCAAGAGATTAATATAGAGTCACTTGTAAACGTTCCAGATACTTTTGTAAACCCTAAACAACTTTCTTCTTGCCTCTTTTTAATCATAAAAGAAGTATATATGAATACCTCTCATCTTCAAAGGAAAACTTACTAGATGGATTAGAAATGGCCTCAAAGCAAGAATTTTCAACCATCCTTATTTTTTTTATATATATATTTTTATTTTTAGAGAGCCAGATTTTTCATACAGAGCTGCATGTGAGTAGTTATGGGAACCATTGTAGATTAGTATTATATAAAAGTACATCACTAAAATTGGCAAGATCAAGACAGATCTCATCAGTCCATATACTCTTGCTGGTTTTACAAGACATTCCGCTTCCATTTCCTGACCATTGTGCCAGAATGTACAACCAGTCCTAATAATCTTATAAAGCGTTATAATGATGTATTAGTGACTTTTTTTTTTTTGCTGATTAATGTTTATCTAATATTTTTTGTAATGTATTTATGTGCATCTTTAATACTTTATCCTAGGACCGTCTCTATTTTGTTATGGAGTATGTGAATGGAGGTGATCTCATGTATCACATTCAGCAAGTAGGAAAATTTAAGGAGCCACAAGCAGTGTGAGTGTTCATGTTTATATATTTAAATCGTGTCATCATCTTAATTCTACCCTGTAAGAGGATTAGGTTTCTTCTGCCTCCCAGGTTCACTATGAAGTCAAGGCTGGCATTTTGAATTGTGTTTTTTAGGCCCAAAAGCTGAAATTTATGTTAAAAATTGCACACATAGACCAAGGTTAGCTGTGCCTTTCTATTGAAAAATAGAGCACGAGCAAAGGCATGCAATGCCTACTTTAAAAGTGACAAGAATTTAAACAAGGCATCAGGAAATTAAAGATGTTACTTGTTATGCTGGTGTTGTTTTTAAAGACAAATATAAAATAAACTGATTAGAATGTTTCAGACTGAATTAATGTTACAGGGAAAGGCAATACAAATAGACTCAGAACTGCAATATAAATCATAGTTTATACAAGATAAATTCAATGTATAGCTTGTGAGAATATCTGTGATGTCATTATTGAATGGGTTTTGTGAGGAGCTAATAAATAGAAGTTGTTTATATACATGATCCCTTTTAGGTAATTGTACATCTGGCATATCAGTGAGCAACTGATAATGATCTGTAGCATATCAAATGTGAATACATCCATCAGTACCATTTTAGTCATGCTTCTATCATCTCATCATCATTTATTAGTGTTTCATAAATCATTTACCAGTGAAACTTTAAAATCAAGTGTGACCAACTGTTTCAAGAATTAAGCTGAAATAATTTCTCATTTTGATGTGAGTAATCAGTGCTTCTTTAAATGAGAGGCCTTCTAAATATAAGTATCTGGGATAGAGAACAAGATTTCACAACTTGCTGAATAAAAACTAGAAGGTGTCAGATCCTCCTTGACTCCCAACTAATGTAACTTGCCAACACCCGTTGAAAGCTATGGTACTTTATGACAGTTTATGCCTGTGGAGCATCTTCCAGCACACGCATTCACAGACACCTCTGATCAAGTGTTTGAGCCGAGCTTCCCTTTCCCTTATGCTAGCCTAAAAATTAATCTCATCTTTAAATAATCCTCTTGCATATAATTCGCACAGTTCCACAGCAACTGGCTTCAAACATCCATCAATGTTACATATCTTTTAACTGCATTCAGCAATTATAGTTTATATGGTAATCATTTTAATTAGCTTTATGTAATTAATCTATTAACAGCCTGTATAAAGGAATACCACTTCTGCAGCTTATTTCAGGGCATATGAATAGCGATGTAAATTGAGCAGCATCCTGCATTCAGCCTTGATATGTGATTACAGATAATGACCTTTGCAGGCAGAGTTAGATCAAAGCAGTAAAATGCTGTGCTCCTGCACCATTTTCTTCTGGTCTGGGGAGATATTTTCATACTTTTTTCTGAATTCTACATAATTTTATCATCAAATACTCAAAATGTTTCTGTTAAAGTCAGATTGAAGTATCTTTTATGTCATCCAACTGCAATATGTATTTTTTTACTTTATGTATATACCCCATGTATCTTATATACTTTATATGCTCTTATGCCATCATTCTTTACCATGATTCATTTCCAGGCTGTTTTGCCTGCAGGAAATCATGAGGCAATAAGAAATCTGTTGTTTTTTTTTCATACAGGTTCTATGCAGCTGAGATCTCAATCGGGTTATTCTTTCTCCATAACAGAGGGATTATTTATAGGTGAGTATTATCTGACATAAATCATTTCCAAACTGAATTTCTGAACGGAAAGGATCCATTTCTTTAACATTTCTGTGCATTTTTAAAGCCTTTTTTTGTAAGAAGGAATCACTGCAGTGTTCTTTTTGTTGTGTCGCTGCTTGACCTGAGCTTTTCCAATATCTGTGCTCTGCCCAGTGCAAATGAAAATTCTTGAAAATGAAAAAACATCATGTAGTGCATTCCTATGTGTTGCTGAACAGTTTCACACCCTCGGAAGTCTCAGTGTGAGTGTGCTTGTGGTCATACACAGCCATCTCTTCATTGATTTTTCCATTTTCAGGGCTTATGGTCCTTCTTATGTGTCTGCAGTGCAGTGTCCAGGCTGCTGTGCATGTGCAGCCCTGTTCCCTCCACCCCTCAGAAGAGCCACACGTTCCTCACCTAGACTCAGAAGTAGATAAGTTGGCCCTGGTTGATCCTAAACATTAACATTAAATTACTGTGATTCTTCATAGAGATCTGAAATTAGATAATGTGATGTTGGATTCAGAAGGACACATTAAAATTGCTGATTTTGGAATGTGCAAAGAACATATGTTAGATGGAGTAACAACCAGGACCTTCTGTGGCACTCCAGACTACATTGCACCAGAGGTAAATATTTACCATTTCAAGAACCTTTTAGTTTCTCAGATGAAAATTGTCCCTACACGAGTTTCACACCACCAAGTCCGGATTGCTGTCACTCTGGATACTGTGTGGATGGTACCTTTTATACTTCTGCAGGTATATCGAATGACTTTGTGAATTAATACAATACTATCAGTAAGACAGCACTGTTCTAAAAAATACCTAATTGATTGAAAACCTGACTTCTTATTAAATCAGAGCTTCAGATTTTGTTGCTAAGGTTGTTGATGAGGTCAGCACACATTTTATCGGGAGCAAACACAGCTTCTTTAATGTATTTTTCCTTACGGCTGCCAAAATCCGTCATTTAAAGGGTTGTTTGGCATTTTCCGGACATCACAAACTATTTGTTACTTTTTGGGAGGGGTCTCATGAGGTCTTGAAGCCTTTTCTGCCCTCCCTGCAAAGCTACTTTGTCTTTTCCGGGCCATGTCTTACAAATGGTACACAGGTATCTTGAGTTATTGCTCTTGATCTCAGGAAAGCTCCAGTCATTGAAAGCCTGAGCAAAGCTAAAAGATAAATCAGGGCTTGAACGGAGTTGACATAAGAAATCCATAATTTGCCTTGAGTTCTGTGTGACTTGGTGATCCTTGTGCTGCATTCAAGCCACTGAAAATCACATTGAAACATGAACATAACTGAAATGGGTCCAAAGTGAAAATGTGATGGTGAGAAGCACAGTTCTCCTTTCAAGCACTGTGATCAATACGAGCTTAGGGTTAAGATTTTGACTCTGGATATGATTTGTGTTTTAATAGTTTAGGTATAAAACATTAAAAACAAGCACATGTGGTGATGTGGAAATGATTCAAATATATGAATATTAAAATCTGGTGTTTGGCCATACTGAGCTTTCAAGAGTCTTGATTTGTTTGGCTGCAAATTCAGTGCAAGAGGCTGGATCCTCATCCAAGATACTCAGTTTTTTCACTTGAGTGCTGGGCAAGAGGCAGCTCTGGCTGGAACATTTCTGGCTGTAATTGAATGTTTGCTGGAATAGGGGAGATTTATACACAGACAAATAAATTAGTATCTAAGGTAAATTTCATCATTTCTGTGAAACTGGGATGAAAAATAGTTTGGTTATTTCTACTTGCTTATTTACAATTTTCAGAGTGAAATATTATGTATTCTAAAACCTTGTTTTTCCCAAATTGCTGTTGCTTGCATAAGGATATCGGAACAACCAAAGCAGTATTTCATTTTCTCCTGTCAAAATATAAATGAAGCCAATATTACACATTTAGAAAGTGTCCTTTCTGTGGCAATAGTCTTGTGCCAGATAATACCAAAGAACATGTTGTCAGTGCCAAAATGCTCAATATGGGTCAGCGTTGGAATGATTTATTTCACTTTATTGGGAAATATCATATGAAGAAATAAGCCTTTGACCAAAACATTCACTAACTGGGAGGAAATCAGTCTTTCTATTACATTACAAACAGATAGACTTATTTTTCTTCAGTTGGCTGATTTTCTTTCATTTCTGAGCACATTATTGTGGCTGACAAACTGCTAACTAGGTCCGTGGCAAAAGTAAAGTTCATGTGTTGCTTGCAGGAGCATTTCAGCATGTTTCCATGGGCTTAAATTTATAATAGGTTATAATGAGGAGGCATTTGCACGGTACCATTCCCTACTGAGTGGAGATAAATGAGCTAAATCTAAATGAACCACGGAAGGTATCTAAAGTAGACTTGTCCTGTGAGTGTGTTGCACTCAGATATAGAGAATTGGCTCTTTTAATTAGTATCTGGGAAATAATGTGACAGCAGTGGGGTCTGGAGGAGCTCATGCTGCCTGTATATGAGCTATCCACAGACACAGTTCAGAGATAACGTGGCTGGAAGGACCATACAGGGACATCTCAGCAGGCTTCACATCTACAGTCTCCAGACAGAAAAACAGAGGAATGTGATGCTGCATTCAGCAAAGTGGACTTGCACACTTTGGAGTACTGTAAAATGATACTTTTCTTATTTAATGATTGGGAAAGCTTGTATTTGTTGTTACTTAGGTGTGTAGCACACTGGAATTAATACTCCTTTTGTTATGCTATGCAATTCGAGAGATGTGCAGAGGTTAAACTGCACAGGAATCCCAGGTCTGACCACTTCTGTCAGGCAGAAAGTGGTTATCTCTTTATTGATGTGCTGAACTAAAATATTTATGGTTGGATTGATAAAATAGCTGTGAAATCAATTAAGTCTTTGTATTTCCTTGACCAGTCAAGAGAGAAAGGAGATGAATGTCAAAAGGATTAGCTGGAAGGGATTCTGCCAGCACAGCCTGCTGCCTGTGGTGTGGTGCTGAACCATCAGCATCCCTGCAGCAGCTGGGGCACTGATTTTAACTTTACAAAGAACTTAAATTAAAAGCTCAGTTTCCTTTCTCCTCCATCCAATAGCCTCAAAATCTCAAGTTCTAACTTGCATTTGCCAGGATGCTGGGAGGCTGATAGGTATTACAAAGGCTTGGAGAGCGTACCTTTGACTGTTTCTTGTGCTAGTAATATTTATTCTTTTAATAACTGAGTTTTAACTTCTCCAGTAGACATTAGGTACATTCACACAAGACATTCTCTTGCCGCTGGGATATAATCTTTTCATCCCAACTGGCTACCAGCTGCAAGCTGCAATGATCTGAGCATTCCTCCAAATTGCTGGTATTAATCTCTGTGTCCTGCTCTTAACTGTGCCTTCCTTGGAGGAAAAACAGAAAATAAAAAGGAAAAAAGCAATCCACATTCCTCTGCCAGTTTGGCTTGATGAAAGCAATTCCTCCTGAGCTCTCAAATCCACAGACCCAGGAAAGGCAGAGCTCCTTAACAGATAGGTAAGATGGGCCATGTGACATGGAAAAGGAGATGAAAAAGGCAGTAATTTAAATTAATGATGGAGAAGGAGGGGAAGGGAAGCATCCTGTCAACTTTCCACTCCTCCCTGGCCAGTAAAGGCAGAGATCATATCTGGAGGAGGGTACAGATCTTCGCTTCTAGACAGCTGAGCTCCCTCACTGCACTGGGTCTGCTCTGCACACTGCGCTGAGACAGGAGTCATGTTAATGTACCCCTATGTGTTCTAACAGGTATCAAAGTTGTTCCGTGAAGACAGGATTATTTTGGCAGCTGCTGCAAAGCCAGTGATGGCTCCGAGTGCAGCAGCTGGGAGGTAATATGTGATGATTTCTGGATGAGGAGGAGGGAACTACTGCAGATACGACATTTAGAATTTGCTGACTTTGTACCAGTGCATGTTTGACTGTATATTGAAAACTCATCTACTTCCTCCCACATGTAACTCCTTCCTTGAAGTGAGCATTCTTTCCTCTCATTTACATTTTCCGATGAACACTTTGAATAGCTCCCGATAGTACGAATAAGCACCAGTTCCCATGCACTCCATGCAGGTTGGTGAATGAGCGTGGCAGATGGCTTTTGTGTGTTTCACTTGTGTCATATCCTTGCCAGGACAAAGCTGGTGATTCAGATTGGATGTATTTGGTTAGGATTAAAGGAAAAAGACTTCCAGTGTACAGCAGCAGACATGGACAGTACCACCTTTCCCTACTGCAATAGGTTCAGTGACAAAGGTGTCTTCATTGCATTTGGAGTGGCACCTTTCCAGCCTTGATGTCGGTATTTATTTCTCAATCCCACTCTTTCATCATGCAGCTGGTTCAGGCAAGGGAAGTGTGTGCCAGCTCAGAGGGGGCACTGGTCTCTTTGTCAGATGCTTCAGCTGATGTTGACATGTGGCATCAAATAGGACACAAATTTTAGTGACTCTGACCATATGTTAGGTTAAATGTAGGAGCTTTTTCATGTTGATTCTGTCTCTCTCAATGATTCTGCTTGATACTCTCTCACACAGGCAGATTTACTTAGAGCAGATTACATTTGCTGATGACGATGCTATTCAGAGAACAGCCTCATCTTGACTCACCTCTTGCTGGGTAAACAAACACTGAGTCCGTGCTTTGTCACATCTTCAGTGTTATGACATTGCATTGCCATATTTGAAAGCTTTCCTCTCCTCAATGATCCCATCAAACTCTCTCACAGTAGGAAGAGGAGCAGACTGCTCCTGGACAGACCCAACTGCCAGGTTGGGAACTGTTGGTGATGTAGCAGCATTTTCGTTCTCGCTGCTATGGGTCCATCTTTTTCTCATTTGCTAATTGAAATAAACTGTTCCTATCAAAACCACTTTCCCGAAGTGCATTTATTGTACAAAATGTTCTGCCTTGATAAATTAATGACCTTCTGAAAAATACCCCTTTTATTTGATAAAATGCTCATTTCCATAAAGCATGGAGAGATTGTCAGAGAAGGGCTGAGGATAAAATGGTTTTTATCATTTTCTGTATACAAAGACCAGTCTTTTTTCTGGATGAGATTTTGAAAGTATTCGGTCTTTCAAGAAGCAGCACTGATTCCAGCTAGCCTCTGGGAACTTACTGGTGATAGAAATTGGAGGGAGAGTAACCAAGTATGTGAACCACAATAATATGAAATGAATGTCCCAAATATATATTTTAAAGCCCATATTACTGCTAAAAGACAAGTAATAAAGATTGCCTTTATGTAGGGCCTTCCACCTGGGAATCTTGTTATTACCTCTGGATGTGTAATGTATTTCAAAGTACAATTGATTTTGAAATGCTTTGCTTAGAAACATAGCAGTAATTTTTAATTCATGTACTGCTGTTATCCCCAGGAAGAGCATATATTCTCCCAGAGACTGTAATCTTATTTAGTAGCCAGGCAGTCCTGCTTTATTGAACTGGTGACTCACTGTTTTCCTGAGAAACTGTAGAACTTGCCAGTTAAACTTCTCTTGCAGGCAGCTAAAAGGTCTAGGATATGTGATATGTGTCTTAGCAATTCGTTTCATAAAGAATAGAAAAGCATGTAAACAGGGAAATAAATGCAAGCCCATCTGCAGTCATGACTGCCTCAGTTCTCTGCTTATCCTAGTGCAGCAGTAGCGTTGGGGCTGGAGGCTGTGATACTGCCTTGTCCATTGTGGATGGACAGTGGTCAGGACATCCTGCATCTCTTCGCGATTCATGGTATCCCTTCACAGTGGTTTAGAAAGAGAGCTGAGAGAAACCTGCACCTCAGAACTCCTCTCTAGCATGCCCAGTGCATCTCTTAAATACATTAACACTCACCTCTGAAGAAGCCTCGATTAAAGAAAATGACACGAGGGGACCTGCGCGCTCTTGGCACACACAGCCTGTTAGTGTGTCAGAACTCAATTTGTGCTTCAATTTGAGGCAGGTGTGAACCCAGAGGATGCAAAATACTTGATAGTTCCATTAGGCTGAACAGCAGAAACCCCTTCCTTTTTGGTGTTGCTGGTATCTGGCTTTGTACTGAGAATTTTAATCATGCAACTTGGGAAAATGTAGCTGAGCTTTTCAGGGTTTTGCACGTTTCTTAAATTTGGATCCCTTTTATAGCAGAACAAAAGCATGAATATTGAAAAGAAGGGCTTAATTATTGATAGCCTGTAAGTTAAGTGAGCCTCCTCTCCTGCTTTCAAGCTGTGACACAAATGGATGGATAATACTTTTGCCTTGTCTCCTACACCGTGCTGCCATACTTCCTCCTTTGCCTTCAAGTGCACATCCCAGGGTTTCCCAAGAGCCACATTTTCCAGGATATCCGAGTACCGAAGGATGTGGGTGGTTTGCAGAACAATCCAACTCCGACTAAAACCAGTGATTACCTGGAGTGAGGATGTCAGAATTGGTGTTTTTTGGAAGGAAATATGTTTGTCTCTGCGTGTCTCTCTAATGTGTCTCTGGGTGTTGGTTAACATAGGGGTTTTCTCTTTGGTTTGTTTTTGTGATTATACAGATTATTGCTTACCAGCCCTATGGGAAGTCTGTGGATTGGTGGGCATATGGAGTGCTGCTCTATGAGATGTTGGCTGGTCAGGTAAGAGTTACCCTTTAGTGCTCACTGTGACTTCCTCCCGCAGCTGCTGTCTTTCAAGGCTCCCTAAAAGCCTAGGCTATTAGAGGACAATACTGGGGCATTTCGCACATTATCTCCTTCTACTCTTGACTGACTGAACTGAGAATGTATTTATGCTTTAAGCGTTTTCCATTGCACCCACATAATCAAGCCCTGCCTTTGAATACGGCTTCTTTGTACTGTAATAATGTTATAAATAGCCATCTTCAAAATTGAATGGGAGACACTTGAGCAGAAAAATGCGTGTCAAGTTGAAGAAATGCCATTTAGTAGTTTGAAAGCACGGGGAAACATTATGAGAGTGTGTACATGCTCTGCATGGCAGTTAAGTCACAATAATACAGTTTTGTGTTGTATGTAAGAGCAGTAAAGTAGGGGTCTTGCTACTTGAAATGTGCTCAACTACAGACCCCTTATTCTGCACAGTTAATGAGATGCTGCTCTCTGAGTCACTCAAGTAGAAAAGCAACACCGTACAGCAGTGAATGGCAGATAACTACCAACTTTAAGGAATTCTATTAGTCTTGAGTTGGAAAACATTTCTGCAGTTGGCTTTCAATGGGTGTTAGCTAGAGGCATGCATTTCCTAAGCTTAAAACATACATTTTTAACAAGTGCCTGTAATAGTTTCTCAACTAAATTCCAGTTGGCATTTTTAAAGTTTCTAAAGTGTAGCAATTGCGGTTGTTAACATTTACAGTCTACACTGCAAATATTAGGCATCTGAATGCTTTTCAGAAAATGAGATCTACCATTAGCTGAGTCCTGCTCCTAGTCTGTCCCCCATGGGCACTTCCTTCATCACCTATCTTTAAACATAAAATGCAGCCCTGTCTTGTGATTAGTTTCCCTTTCACAGAAGCAGAACCTACAGCCATGTTTTATGAAACAAACTGGAGCATAACTGGAATTAAGTGGGGAATGGATCAAGGTAATTAAAAGTCAGTCTCCAGAGTTCACCCTTTTAAAGTATTTTGACTGTTGAGTGTGCAGTAGCTTTAAAAACTGATAAAAGATGAACACAAAGATAATCCTGCACACATTTCATTAACCTGGCTGCCGTGTGGGGGCAGAAATGAACTTTTCTCCTCAATTTCTACCTGAGGCTGATAAACCCTTCTGGGTCAGAATATACCCAAGCTGCAGATGGCGGGGAGTTTGGTGTGTATTCCTGGGTAAGGACCACTGCTGTGTACTGATGTCTTTGGGCATCTGTGATTGACAGGAGGCAGGTCGCTGGGCTGGATGCACTCTTGTTTGACCCAGTGTGGCCACAGGATTGTTATGCCATTTATAAAAAGTGGAGGATTATTACAAAAAGGAAATAACTTGCTTTGATTTATTTTCAACAGCCTCCATTTGATGGAGAAGATGAGGATGAGCTTTTCCAGTCCATAATGGAGCATAATGTTTCCTATCCAAAGTCACTGTCCAAAGAAGCTGTCTCCATCTGCAAGGGGGTGAGATAGATGCTTTTTTATCTTTTAAGTTCCTTTCTGGCAGTCCTTGTGAATAACTAAATTTGTCTGGCTTTGATAAGGCACTACTGATTTTTAAGTGCAACTTCTGTCAAGGCAGTGCTAAGCTAAATTGTCATGAAGCGCCAATCGCTTGGTGTCACTGGTGAGTATTGAGCTCTTCCTGTGTTGCAGCTTTTTTTATGGTAAGAGCAAATGTCAGGATCAGTAGCTGCCAAATTCAAAATCGAAATCCAAAGCAGAATTTATAAACCAAATCCAAAATCCAAAGCAGAATTTATAAACCAAATCCAAAGTGTGGAATATCTCCACCCACCTCACCTCTCAGCCCTCTGCAGCACAACCCCTGTTTTGCAGGTGAGATTTCCAAGCTTGAATGAATACCAAATAGCCTAGCGAGTCTTCAGCCCAGTGTGCCCAATGACAGCAGCAGAGCTAAAGAGTTAATAAGAATAATACTTAAATGTAGGTAAAGATGAGCTTATATGAAAGTCTTTAGTGTAAATGCAAGAAAACCATGGGGAAATGCTGACCCAGTGGTAACCTGTGTGGCCTAAAATTGATCTTAAATTCTTAGGTAATTTAATTTGCTTTCAGGTTTGGGGATTTTTGACTTCAGGGGATGAGCTCAGGGAAAAGAAGAATTCATTTGACTTTTGCTTTGGCTCCATGTGATTCCCTGTAGTACTGTCAGTGTGTGGCTTTTTCAAACCACCCTCTATAAAGCATTCTCTGATGTCTTATTTGCACTGATAAAATATCACCGCACTTAGTGCCAGTTAATTTGGTGTTTACTTTCTTCCTTTCCTTTGCAACCATTTATGAAGCATTGTACATCGGCTGGATATTAATCCCTTAAGGAAAACTCATTAAGGAATAGAAAAGCTGTTTAGAAAAAACAAAGGAAAAGGAAAGACCATTCTACTTGTGGAATCCGTCCCAGTGTAGATGTGCTGGCCAACAAAAACTAAACATGATGATTTTGTAAAGTACATTCATATTGATGCCTTCCCATGAAAATCATATATTCAGACAGCATGGTTTGAACTTGATCTGATTACCCTGCTTTCAGCTCTCCTGCTTGCTGCTGTTCTGCTAGGGAGGTCAGAAAGCTAAAATTACATTGCCTCCTAGGTTTAAGGTCAAGTCTCTGTGATATTAATATGTTCATCATCTGTATTAAACTAACAAATTAATCCCAAATTTCAGTAAGCATTATGCCTGATCTAGCAAGTCAATATGAGAAAGCTTCTGAACCTTGTAGGCAGCAGTAGCTCAGCAACCCTGGGACCGTGCACCATTGGGCAAGGCAAATCTGCTCTCTGTGCTCTTGAAGCTGAATTGTCTGCTTGACATCTATTCCCACTGATTCAGTTTGTTGGGTTTGGTGAATGCAGTGACTTTGGGAAAAAATTAAACTCCTGCAACCACTTCTCACATTTTCCTCTGTCACCTACTGTTTGTTAAGGGGTTTAGAAAAGGTAACAGAAATGGGAAGCTTGCAGAAGGATGTGATTCCCAGCCTGGTGCACAGCTGAATTCCCAAAGTCTGCTTAGAGTTACTTTTATTTTAGGTTCAAAATTGGACTGTGATCAACTCAGCATTTGGAGGGAGGCTAAAGCAGAACAGCTGAGGTTTTAAAAAGATATGTTGAGGTATCACTCCCAGCAATGTATCAATCATATAGAATTTCTAAAGGAGCTTCAAACAGTCCCCACAACACTGAAACTGAGAAGTGAAGGCTGCCTTGCTCAATTCCTCATGTTATCAGTTGAAAAGATTTTGAGGAGCTTGTTAATGAAGGGAGCACATTATTGTTTCCAAGCACGCAAAGCTGGTGGCTTTTTGTTTTGGGCTTTTTTCCCCATGTCTGCTTATCTGTGCAACTGAGTATAGTATTGACCAAGATGTCATTAAGGATGCAAGGGAGGAAACGCAGATTAGATATTGTCAGCCGGGTGCCAAGAAACTGTAGGCTCTGTAATGAGATGTCTTGAACAAGCCCAGAAAAATGAATCAGGGGGAGTTGTACTTTGTACAGCTTTAGTATATTGGCATTTATTGAGTTTAATTGATCGTTGAGGTAGGGCAGGAGCTGTCCTAGAGATTTATAAGGCTGAACTAGAAGACCAAAGGGGAAATTCGGGAGTGAGTTGTGAACGAACCAGATGGCAATGTGCCCCAGGCACTGCCTGCCCCCCCACACCCCCAGCAGCTCAAGTACAGACCTTCATTTTCGTGCTGATGTGCTGTCTCCAGTGATCAAACAAGAAAAGTAACCTTCAAAATATGAATATTAGCTTTTCAAAGCAATTTTATCAGCACCTTGGATCTTCAGGAGACGAGCAAGAGCACTGCGGTCTGGGGAAAGTCCATCTCACTTTCATTCGTGCCTTGAGTTTAATCACTTGGTGTTTTCTTCCTAACAGCTAATGACTAAACACCCTGCAAAACGCCTTGGCTGTGGCCTCGAAGGTGAAAGAGACATCAGGGAACATGCTTTCTTCAGAAGAATCGACTGGGAAAAACTGGAAAACAGAGAGATTCAGCCACCTTTCAAACCTAAAGTGGTGAGTGAGATGCCAAGTACTTCCCTCGCTAATGGTGTCTGCATTCATGCTTTCCCGCGGGGTGAGATTAATGTTGGCTTGATGGTGCTGCAAATCTGGGACACTGCTAAAATAAGGCAATTTGATTATGGCAGACCAGTCAGAAAATCTGCTCGTGTTTTGGCACTGGGTGATATAACCCTGTGTACTCTGTCCTTGTGAAGAAGTCTCTCAATGGTTTGAGTCTGGACATGCTACATGAGAAGTTAAAACAGGGAAAATTAGCATATTCACATCAGCCACTGTAATAAAGGTAGCTCCCAACTGTCTCCTCTGAATAACATATGAAGCTAGTGATTAAAGGTATCTGAATTACCGGGGTACACAGCACATGGGGTTTGGATTCCCCATCCCAGAGTGACATCTGCTGAGTTTGCAAGAATGATCCCTGGTTTATTATTGATGTTTATTACATGGTTTGCACACGTATCTGCAGGAGTATTTTAGAAATCCAAACAAGTGAAAGATGTGGAGACCTCATAGCAGCCTTCCAGTATCTGAAGGGGGCATATAGGGATGCTGGGGAGGGACTCTTCATTAGGGACTGCAGTGATAGGACAAGGGGTAATGGGTTAAAACTTAAACAGGGGAAGTTTAGATTGGATATAAGGAGGAAATTCTTTCCTGTTAGGGTGGTCAGGCACTGGAATGGGTTGCCCAGGGAGGCTGTGAATGCTCCATCCCTGGCAGTGTTCAAGGCCAGGTTGGACGAGGCCTTGGGTGATACAGTTTAGAGCGAGGTGTCCCTGCCCATGGCAGGGGGGTTGGAACTGGATGATCTTAAGGTCCTTTCCAACCCTAACTATTCTGTGATTCTATGTTCTTAGAATGAGGGCTGTTTGCATAATGGAATTTGAAGATCTGTATTTGTTGATGCAGGATTTCTTTCAGTGGGCACTGTGTGCTGTATTGACAGGCAAAGAAAAGCATTGCACACTAGAGTACAAACATCCAGGAACAGCTGTAAACTGTTTTGCACTGACATTGGCTCTTTCTTCTCCAACACTTTCTTTGTTTCAATTGAGATGTGTAGCTGGCTGTAGCACTGCAGGCAGAGGATCCTTGCTCTGTACATTTACCCATACAGACACGCTGGTGTGGTATCACAAGAATACATTCCCCTACAAATGATTTTTTCACATCACCAGGACAGCTGCATGCTGAGAAGGGTGTTTTGTGCCAGGGAAAACACCTCTTTCATACACTGTGGATTTTGCACACAGGGAAGGGTGTAAATAGGTAAAGAACACGTGTGGTGCTGTCAAGCCTCCCCAACTGGTCTCCAGGGCTCTCTGTTGAAGGGGAGCTGCACCTCTTGAAAGCACGTTTTATGAAAGATTTTCATTGCGTGCTTCTTGAGTCAAAGATAATCGTAAAGGAAATCTACCTTCACATCTTTTAAGTTTTATTAGCTCAGGAGCTGAGTCCATGGAGCCTCCTTCAAGTTAAAAGTAACACCAGCATGCAGGTCCTAAAATCTTGAAGTATGGTCTGCTTTCATAATAGCACGCTTTGTGGCAGATCCTGGCTCCTGTTTAGAGCAGCTGTGCTCTGTCTCCCTAGTTATCATGACCTGATTTGTTTATACAGGCTGCTATTAAACACACCAAAGCATATTCACATAGAGCCTAACTTTCCCAGATGAAAAGAACTTGAAATCCAAGTCCGATCTTTACATACCCTGTGTTTAACTTTTTTATTGTGGTTGCTGATTCTGTTTGCATTAGAATCACAGAATCATTCATTAACTTGGCACTGCCAAGTCCACCACTAAACCATGTCCCTCAGTGCCACATCTGCATGTCTCCTAAATACCTCCAGGGATGGATATTGGTTCTAGAAAGCAAAAAAATCACACAACCCTTAATCTGTTTGAAGATATGGATGTATTTGTAAGGTTTGTTTGTAGGTGCATCTCTAGGAAGCACATTGCTGCGGGAATAATCCTGCTGCCTTTGCACACAGGAACAGTTCTCATTCAAACACAGAGCTGCAGATTCCGGGTCAGCAGTTGGTCAGTTTAAATAATGTGTTCCCTTCCAGACTGACATTTCACAGGCGATAGATATAGAGTGGTTATTTGGCAAGGACATTTTACTTGTATTTGTAAGTTTAGGAGTTGTAGGAGTCCTTGTTTTCAGTTTTGGTTTAATACTGCATTAACACATTGCTGATCTTTAATGTGAAGACAGATAAGTATATGAAGATGCAAAATTATATTGAAAATATAATTTTTATAATATAATTGATAAATTATTATATTTGCACACACAAAAAAATACCCAAATTTCACATGAGTTATTTCTTAGCCTCTACTAATGTAAGCAATAGTGAGAGACCTAATGGAGTCAGGGATTTTGGTTTCAATATACAGTTTGTTTGAATAGCTTCCACTTGCTGAAAAAAGAAGAGGAAAAAAGAAGAATAAAAGACAAAAAAGCATTATTCTGTAGAAGGGTGATGCATATGTTTAGAACATCTTTTTAGCATAAGGTCTTCCCTGTATAAATAGCACTTCTTTGCTGCTGAGGTGACTGTACTGCCTCCAAATAAATTTGACTGTTAATTCAGGGATACATCGACTTTCATTCCACTGATGCAGAGATTTCCTTTTGTCAAAGTTGAGCTCTGTCCATTCTTGTTCTCCAGAGATTCTGTACCAAAATGCATTGGCTTCAGTGGGCACCAGGGTACTCGGTGAGTGAGAATCCTCGGTGAAAAAGCAGATTACTTTTAGCCTTTAACCTCTTGAAGTGTCCCTCTGCTTGTGTCCTTCTAAGACTGAACAAGTGTCCTTCTGTGAGCACTGCAGTCCAGTACCTGAGCATGCATTTTTCATCTGAAATATAAACCAGCTTGTGCCTCAGGCAGCAAAAGTTCTTTGCAGCTCAGATCAGATGGCATGTGCCAGTCCAGGATGTGCCAGGTGCTTTGTAAGAAGACTGGCAACTGTGCTATTTTCAAGACAGCCAAACATCTCACCCTCGAATTCCCTTGAAACGGGCCCCTCTTCAGTTGGTTTCTCCTATAAATACACAGATTTATGTTGCTTTAGTTCAGAAAAATCGATGTTTAATATTGGTCTGTTTATGAACCATATTCTACCCTTTCCAAGTTATCCTTTAAGGCTGAAGATAATAGTGTCATGTTATAACCTCTAAATCCACATATAGATATACTGTAGGGATGGATAGAGAGGAAAGAGGGACAAGAAGAAGAAACGTTCAGGGCTTTATCATACAACCACATTTTGCTTGAGTATCTGTTACAGTAGATAGTTTTTGAGATGAGGTTTACCGGTTTCCTTTAGACCTCTCCACAATATTCAATGCGTAGTTTTCCCCAAACATGCATTTTTTCTTGCACCCAAGCTAATTTTGTTCTGGTCCCACCTTCATCCTTTTTAACTTGCTTCTAATGATACTGCGCTGCCTTTCAAGTGTTCTCTGCATTACTCAAAACTACCCTTTCTGCAAACCTGGTTTCTTTTGTTTTCTATTCTGAATGGGTTGTGTTCATGCGTAGCTATATATAACCCCCTTCTTAGCTGAGCTTCATGAGATGATGTGTCTCTTCTCTTAGACAAAAAAAGGAGGAAACCTGTGATAGCGCATTATGGGATGAGGATCCCAGGATGTGCTCCCTGCCCCAGCTCCCTCCTGCAGTCCCCAGGACTGAAGCTCTGCTGTTGTTTATGAATTTACCAGCTTTTATATGCTGTACAATGGAGAACCAGAGCATATGGATGAATTACATTTAGCTTTCTGCAGATTGTGGAGGAAACGGAGACTAAGAGGAAAATTCAGTTCTGCATCATAAAGGTTTTAAGAAGAATTAAAAGACTTCACAGATAAAGTCTCTCTTTGCCAATACATGTCCATAAAAATACTTTCTCCTTTTATATCCCAGTAATTCTGAATATTTAACCCTTTTTACCTCGTCAGTTTATTCTGTTAGGTGGGAATTTCTCAGACTGGTTTTCGTCAGAATTTGTCTGTTAAAAACTTCTCTGTTTGCCTGGATTTTTGTTAAAATAGCTAAAAAGAAGATTTTCTCTTAACTACAGAGGAGAAACAAGGGAAAGGCTTACATGTGTCCTGAGAAACTCACAAAAAGCTGGAACTGACGATATATTGCCGATGCTTTTTCAGCCCTTTTCCTGTTTCTGTTTGTTTCCTTGCAGTGTGGCAAAGGTGCCGAAAACTTCGACAAGTTCTTCACCCGAGGACAGCCGGTGTTAACGCCTCCGGATCAGCTGGTCATTGCTAACATAGACCAAACAGATTTTGAAGGGTTCTCTTACGTCAACCCCCAGTTCATACACCCCCTTTTACAAAATGTAGCATGAAGCAGCAGAACGGGAACAAATCCTGCAGCAGGGAATGATCTTTAACCCTACAATGTTTAGGCTTTTGCCTTGTTTGATTCCATTTGGGCCTGGAAATTGTAGGGTTAGAAAGTGTAAGATGGGGGGGAAAGGCCACTAATTCAGGATTTTGGCTTTGCAACAGCGGTGTTGTCTTAATGGGAGATAAATCAGTGTATGGTGCCCACTTACCCTTCTAGAAGGCGCCACTGACTTGGCAAAACTTACCCAGTTTTTAGTACGTTTGATCTTTTTGTAACTTCCCGCTGTCCTTTTGCTCCCTTTTCCACTCTGCTGTGTTAGAATTCCTCTAACATGTGGTCTGAAAGAATAAAACCACCTCGAATATTGAGTCCTTCTGTACAGATGCTGGGAGACAAACGCACTGATTCCCGAGGGACCGCTCCTTCCGGTGACTTCAGGGAGATGGGCAGCACAAGAGGCTGGAATGGAGGCATCACTGAGAGGGAGAGGCATTGCAAAGGAAATGTTGAAAGCACTTGTTATGAAAATAGGACAAAAACAAGTTGGGAGAGGGTGGGAGGGGGGGATAAAATCCAATTAGACCTTTGTGGCTATGATCCTATAAGCAACTCCAAGTTTAAACGCACTTCAGTGGTGGCCAGATCACTAGGATCTTTGCTAAGTAGCATGTGATAAACTCAAGGGTGAATTTTTGTCTTTAATAATAATAATAATAGTAATAATTTTAATAATATTTCTGTGAATTTTAATCTCCATGAGATTATTCTGTGATCCAGGGTGCCATTGTTTGTTCGGTTAATTTAATTTACTCCTCAAGTTTACTGCTAACCGGTTCTAATACCAGTATTTTACTATGGGATTTGTTTAACCTGGAATGTAAAAGAAAACTTGTTTTATTTACTTATTTACTTGTGTTTATTTATAGTCTGCAGTATAGGGCAGTAAATGGAAGGAAGCGTTACATATCCTAAATTCACAACACATACAGCCCCAAGTGACTTCCTGATTTCTTCAGAATAACTCATGAAAATTAAGTGTGATATAAAAATAATCAGTTTTAATTCAGGAAACTTTGGGCTGTCGAATAATAAAGCCTGAAAAAAGAAGCACCTAGAACCTGTTTTATTGATAGAATGGGATTTAATACATTTTACATAGGCTTCATGCAATGAATTTTGCATGTTTAGTAATAACTCTTAATAATAAGGGTTAATAATAAGCAGATCTATAATATCGACATAATCATATCCAGCATAAAGAGTATTATAAAGATTTTATAAAACAAATTGTGCTTTATTTGTGAACCTTCTTGTTCTGAATGACATCCTTTAGACTTAGCTAAATGTTTTACTGCTGTTGTTTTGATTTTTACTTTAGGGTTTGGATATTCTAATGGCTTAGGGAATAATCTCTTTTTTTAAAAGTAGAAATACTTTTAAACTATAATGGCTACCTGCAGGTTTTATACAAGGTTCAATTAGGCTTTCATTTTACGTCTGCTTATCACTTACAGGGAAGGAAATGGACTTTATTTGCAATGATGAACACTGTAATTAATGCAATCTTCTCCTCTCCTATCACTTAGATGAAACATTTTGATAGATCTTCTTACAACTCACCAGAAGATATTAATTCAAATATCAGTGAATTCTTTTTGTGCATATTTGGGTTTTGTTACAGCATGTAAAATAGTAGTTGGTGCATTTTCCTTCTTTTTTTCTCCCTTCTGCCTTGTTCCTGTTAGCAGCCATAGGCACTTTTTGTCTGTCAGATGTGCATGACGATGCCAGAAGCATGATGTCTCTGTTGCTGCATGCAGACTGATTACAGTTTTTCCAGCATGTAAACATATTCCAAAAGTAAGGTATTTGCCATAAAAGACTTAAATTTATACTAGAACATGTAACGGGGGGGGTGGGAGGGGAATCTACTTTCTAATCATCTTTTATGACAATAAAACATGGAACCTGTGCCAAAGATTCTGTTAGAGCTATCCAGTCCTGCACATTGGTATCCAAGTGGATGGGTTTGACTAACGGGGGTGACCCCTGGTGGAGTGGGACAGTTTGTGTGCGAAACACAACTGGATTTGAATGGTCACTGATGTGTTTCTGCTCCTGGGGCATGCTCGGAAGCTGTATTCTTGGTGCCTAGGAGAAATGATTCACAACACTCCAAGAGTCTCACTTCTTCCTGGTGATAGTCCTTTTGCAGACCCAGCTTGAAGCAAGGAGCATCTCCCTGGGTAAGAGTGAACAGCAGGCTTTAATGGGTGAACCGAACCATTCCAAGGGGTGGGAGAACACACAGCTAATGAGGGGCATTGACCAACTAGCAAGAACTCGGGTTGTTGCCTAAATAAACAGAACTTACCATTTTTAAAACATTTTAGGAGTCAAATTTTTAAGTCTTTCTGTGTCAAATAAGTTATCAGCCAGGTCTGGGAGTTCATTATCCTCTTTGTGTGTTATATATGGTACTCACCATAAAGCACGTGGACTAATGCTGCGTTCATGACTATTTATGTTTTTCTGAATACTATTAGTCTGCCATAGCTTAGAAGATGCAGAAGCATCACACTGTAGAAGATAATAGATGCAACAGATTACTGAGGCTCAGATGTGAATAAAGAAGGGGCTCTCGAGTAACTCAATCTGCTGAGAGGCAGCATTAGGTGTGTTTTAAGAATGTGAAGTGAAAAAGACACTTAAGAAAAAGGAAAATACTGGGAGAAATAGCAGCACACAGGTTTGGGAAGGAGGAAAAGCATTGTAGGGGCAGAACTGAACTGTGCCAGGAGCAAGCAGGATATTGCATGGGTAGACATGCCCAAACAGTTCTGGTTTTCCTGGTGAAATATGCATTGGACAGGGAAGCCCCATTGCAGGCAGATGTTTCTGGCACAGCTGTGATGGTCGGTGATGGTCTCACCAGAACATGGCATTAAAGATGTGGTCCAGCATCTGAACAGAGCTGCTCATTTTTTGGCTGCTTCTCAAAACCACTTTCTTGGGCATTTGTTCACCAGTTTTCCTGATGTAGAAGCAGAAATTCCTCTTTATTATTGTTACTTCAAGTCCCTGCGCTTGCTATGGCTCATGTCACCTTCTGTAGGTTTCTGAAAGGTTGTGAAAGGTACTGTGAACTCAGGGCTCCCACAGGAACAAGACAGGGTTGTGTTAAGCAGGGATTGAGTATTTGTGCTCCTTCTCACTGCTCTGCCTAATGCCCTCGTATGTGAGTGTTCATGCTTGGAATCTTTAATGAGAACTCTATGTGGCTTTCTTACCATCCAGGAATTTATAATGGCAAGTAGAACTGAAGTATCCAGCCAGTCTTTTCATATCTTTTTAAATACAGATCTTATTTATATGCTGTTTTTCATTAGATTTGGATTTCTAGAGAACAGGCATCAACAGGGGGATAGGCATTGGAACTGCTTTTCTTTCACTTGTTTTCAATAGCAACCATAGTCTGAAAACACACGTTGCAAGTCAAATTGAGAATTACAGTACACTCAAGCTGGGGTGGAAGTTCTGGGAGCTGTGTTTCCATCCCACATGCACTTGAATCCCAAGGGGCTCTGGAGCAGCCCCGTTCCTGTTGGGGGGAAGCACAGGTATGCAGTGTAAACTTCCAAGCTGTGTTCTCAGGGATTAAATAGAATTTAACTGTCTCCTAGGTAAATTTCTTCATTATTCAAGCATCTGGGTGTTCTTATGCACCTTTGAGTCAGCTGAGCAGGGTGGTGGGTTTCCAGCACAGCCACTTCACCACCAGCCAGTCTCGGATTGCACATAGATGAGGAGGAGAGAGCACGTTCCCATAACAAAATACTCCCCCTTAATCCAGTTTAGAGGAGAAATGCAATTTAGCTTTCTGATCCTTTATTCTTTCCAGAAATACAGTTGGATTTCCTTTTACACAGTGAAGAAAGTTCTTCTGGAAATCAGCTGTTTAGAAAGAAAGAAACTCGTGTTACACTGTTGGCCTTTACAATCCATTCTGTCTTTTGGGGTGAATTTGATTGAATAATGCTGTAAAATTAGTAAGGTAAAGAGAGAGGAGCTTGCCTTCTAGATGGGAGGGTGACATGCTCAGGGGCCAGGATGGAGTGATACAACTTCAAAGCCTCTTTCTCAGCCAGTCCATCCAGATGCAGTCCCAGTTAGATGCCACAGGAGACACATGCATTTAGCAGAGGGGGAAGACCCTCCTTACTAAGCAAAACACATCACTGGAAATAATAGTAATTCAATAGTAAAGCTTTGATATGAGTAGAAACATATTGACAGTATTGAGTTTACAGTGAGCTTTTGGGCCTGCCATGTAACTTCTGGAAACATCTAATGTGATTTTCAGTTCTCTTGGTCAGTACCATGAACTACTGTACATAGGTTTTATCTTTTCACAAACATGGGTGTCAGCTCTAGGCGATGGTACCCCTGTGCACTAAATGGCCAAGTAGAAAAGCAGACAAGCTAAAGCACCTTTTTACTCAGCTCCATACTTTTAAATGGGATCTGAAATAGTTCAGTTAAAGAACTAAAGACCTGACTCCATAAGTATATGTGATTTCCTCTCAGCCAGTAACTGTGCCAGTAATGACTGGTAATTAAATAGCCTTATAATGAATAATCATCATGCACTACAGCCCTCCTGTTCCTAAGAAAACTAAGAGAGAGAGCAAGTTATTAACCTCTCTGCCTCAGTTACCTCATCTGTAAAATGGGGATAATAATACTTACATATCTCACAAGGAGGTGTGAGGACTTCATAGGTAATGTTTCTAATACACTTTTAACCTGAAAAGAGTTGTGTAAGTATTATTATAATTTTTAATATTAAATCAGCTTATTCCCGTGGTATTGCTGGATATATCATGCTATTTCTACTTTTTATAGAACTTTAGTAATTCAGCTGAAAACATGTGAAGAGAAATAAAAGGCAATCTGATGCCTTTCTTAAGAGAACCTGGGGTCCAGCTTTCGTTAACCAGAGTCAGGGTACAGTGGGAGGTGATGCTTGCGGATGGTATGGGTGAGCAGTATTCACCTCTTTCCCAGTTATTGAGATTTCTTTTGCAATTGACCAATTCCATGTAGATGAAAGCCTTAGCAGAACTGATTCTCGGAAGGTGAGATTCCCTATGGGTGAATAAAGACAGCACAGCAGTTTTCTGGTAGTTTATACTGACTCCTATTGAAGGAGAAGTGAAGTTCTTCATGCAGCTGGGCCATCCATGAGAGGTTGATTCCATTGATATATTAATGTGTCTGTTTGTCGTGTATCTTCATGCTTTTCCTTGCGTGTGACACCATCATTCAAATTTAAAAGAAAACTGCCCTAAAAGCAATGTTTTTTCTTCCATTAATGTCAATTGACCAAAAAAAAAATAAAATCGGGAGTCTCTTAATGATTTTAAACAGTGATGTGCAGTCAGAGTAGCAATAGCACTGATAACCAGCCCCAGCCTGCCGCCGTTGAAGCTCATTTCTGACTATGGGATACATTGGGAAGTCTAAAGCTGACAGTACATTTGTTTTATAATTGTAACCTGGTGACAGAAATGTGTTCATAGAAAGGAAAATGATGTTTCTAATCTTTGTAAACCTTTTCCTAAGGACTGGTTGAAGGCCAAGTTGGACACAGGGGCTTGGAAACCTGCTCTAGTGGAAGGTGTCCCTGCCCATGACAGCGGTTGGAACTGGATGAGCTTTAAAGTCCCTTCCAACCCAAACCATTCCATGATTCTATGACTTTGAAATCTATTGTATTTATTTATTTCCCTTCTGTTTGAACCAATAAGTGCCAATGGCTCCATCCTCCCAGAGGTTTGTGTGCCCGTCTTGGCCTTCCAGGGCACCCTGTAGTGGAATCACCATGTGCTTGGAGCTCGCTGCATACTCAGTGCATTGAGTACACAATGCGCAGTACACTGGAGCTTATAAACCCCAGTTTGTAAAACTACTGTGGAAGTGTTTGTGCCCAATGCTAGTCAGCAGAGCACAGCCATTGGGGCTTCACATCCCATAGAAGTCAGTGGAGTTTGCACACTGGGATGACTTGCTGACTTAAAAGCAGAAAAAAACCAATCTTGCTGTAATAATACCAATTTAATCTGACAGTTCCCCACAAAGCCTTTCATTTATCCTCTCCTGTGCTATTAAAATGAATGTAAGGAAAATAGTTTCAATGAAATGAAGCTCTTTGTATCTTTTAAAAACATGCATTTCCCACGTTTGGTTTAGTACACAGAGCACACCTGAAACCTTTGAAATGATTGTATGTTACCGTAATACTACCTTTTTAAACAAGGAGTAATCCCACCTTGGACTCATTCATGGGTTTTAGTGTTACTTTCAGACCCGGATTTTGTGCTTATAAAAAGGAGAGCTTTATATCCCATCATTTATGTGCGAGATTCTACCAGAAGATTTGGAGAGGCCATTCATTTTTCAAAAAGTAATTAAAAAATCACTGTCATTGGCAGTGCAGTGGGCACGACCGATGTATAAATCACAGCATCGGGTTGTTTCTCAGTTTGCTAGATCTTCAATCCTCGTTTGCATGAAATGCTTCTGTTAAATATTAATTGTAGTTTCAAAGCAAGTTGTGTATGAATAAACAATCCTGATCATTACTTGGGTGAGAGTTTGGGCTGGCTTTATGAAATGCCATTTCAAAATGGACCCCACGCAGCCCAGAGGATGCACAGATTGCGGTGGGATCAGCCGCAGAGGTTGGCCAGACCCAGACCTGGATTCTCCATCCATACATGGAATTTTAACCTGGGTTCTTTGTTAATTCATGTTAATTAGAGGGGAAAGAGGCTTAACTTGGGGTTAGATGTGTCTGTGAGAGGATTTCTGCATGCTGAAAGGGGAGCAGTGGCTCTTTGGACCAGCAGGTCCCTGGCTAACCTGCTTGTTGGACTCTATTAGAAGCATTGAGCTGCTTTGCGTGCTTGTGCCCCAGGGAAACGCAGCCCTAGGATGAAGTGAGATCTGAGGCTGGAGGGTCTGATTCAATGCTTGATGTGAGATGTGATGGAGGAGGGATGTGCCCTCCTTCCTAGCAGTTAGACCCTGGGAAACCTCAAACTTCTCTTCTTCACATCCCTGTGTGTGAGCCCCAGGTGGTTCCTTCCACCCTCTGCCACTTCCCGGGGAGAGGGCTTAGTTTTAATGTGATTAAGGATGCCCAGGGGCCCCCTTTTGCCATGAAATGCTTGTTTTAACGCTCCTGGAGGAAGGGATCCCGATCTCCCAGCCCCACCAGCTGTGCTCACCCCCAGTCCAAGCACTTGCCTCGTTGAGGCTGACAATGTACAAATATTGTGACAACTTGATAAACGACTTCTTTTTTCTGCCTGATCTCAAACGTATTGAATCCCATGCTAACGCATTAATTGGGTTAGCTTAATTTGCAGAAAAGCCTGGCTGAGTTTGCCCAAAGGAACGGTTGAAATTCATTTCCCTTTTTCGCAGAGACAGTGTTTCCAGGCTGCTGCGTGCTGCTCAGCCTTCATCTGATGTGCTCAGCTGCTCCTGAAGCCATAAACACGTCTGCTCTCAGGCCTTGAGAGTTTCCTGCAGAGCAGGAGTTAAAGGAGACATTGGCTGAGTCTCTGCATGCAGGGCAAGAGGAAAGGGTTCCTTGGCACTCAGTACTGCTAGACCTGCTTCTCCCATCACCTTGGCTGTCCCGACAGGAGCTGGGTGGGATTTCATCCCTAGTTGTGCCCTTCAGGGTGGACTGAGGAATCTCTCCACGCCACCCACATCCCATACATGAGAGCCTCCATCAGATCTGCTCCCAGCTCTAAGTAAATCACGGCAGTTACTCGTGGTTGCCTTTCCCAGCCCCAGATTCTCTTTAGGGATTTGGGTGTTTGACTGACAAATATCAGAACATCTTTACAGAGCTGGTTCCTGAGCCACAAATACAACCATCTCCTCTGAGAGCTGCTAGGGCAGCTGAACTGATAGCTGCGTTAATTACCACGAGGTGATTACAATCTCACCTGCTCTGGCAAAGGCAACTCTCACTGCTGGGCTGAAAAAACCCTGAGTAAGCCCTGGGGAGCTGTGTTAAAGCAAAGACAAATCAATGAGGAGCCCAAAACAGGAAAACTCCTGCCTCTTGTGGGCATCTTGTCCTCAAAGGGATGTTTTTCCAAACTGCATCTGTCAAGTGTCACCTTCCCAAAGTGATGCTAAACCCAAAGAAGTGGGAATCGGACCAGGAGAACAGTCAGTGGCAAGTCTGGGCCCACGGAGTTACCTTCAAGGGTTTCTTTTTTGCTTGCTTCTCCTGCTTTTCCCAAAGGAGGAGCACAAAATGAGGGCAGATCTCATGGGAAATGAGTCAGTGCTGTCGCTTTCTCAGGGGACTTGTCGCATTTGCTGCCAGGGTGACAGTGTCAGACACCAGCTGCCACTTCCAGTGTTCATTACTGGTCCCTGAGTCAGCACCCAGCATCCTACCTCAGGAGATGTCATTGCACGATGTAATGAAGGAGAGGAAAACATTCCAGAAGCAATTCAAAGCACAATACCTGGGTGAGAAAAAAAAACCCAACCCTGCATTGGCAGTTTGCTTGGAGGTGTTTTAGATCCTATTCTCACCCAACCAGGCTGGCACAAATCACCCATCTCTTTCCTCTGTGCTGTGATTCATGTGCTGGGAATGAATTTCCTGCTCCTTGGAGGGCTCAGACCCTCCCCATAGCACAAGGGCTCAGCTGGGAGCAAGAGTTCGGCTGCTCCCATAAGGTAACAGCAGCCTGGCTGTTGGCTAGTGATGGGGCTTTCAATGTCACATGAAGTGTGTTGCCCCTGTGCCTGGGTATTGCAGCAGATGCAGTGGAGGCCCTCAGGAGCATGGGAGGCACGTGCTGCAGTTACCAGTGAGTATTCGGGTTCGTGCAAATTTCCTGTTCCAACTGGTTTTAAAGGAGCTGGGTTTCGGGAGGCACATTCTGGTGCTCCCTGCATTAGTTGAAGGAAAACTAATCCACCTCTGACACCCCGTCATGAGGCCAAGCCAGAGCTGCTCAGAGCGGTCTGCAGTGCTCCACAGAGGTGCTTGGAAAGCTCCTTGTTTCTACCAAGGTCAATGGCTTCATCCTCATTCCCATTGGCTTTTCCCCACCCGAGCCGTTTGGCTGTTGCAAGCTCCAGGGCTCTGTATTACAGGCACCCAGGGGAGTGGGAATGCTCAGGATGCTCAGTTGTCTGTAGCAGGATTTCAGCTGCTGGTTTGCCCAGCAAAGTCTGGTTTTCAGGGATGAGCCTTCGATCCATCACCCCTTACCCTGCTCCTCTATGCAGAGGGCTTGATAAAACTGCCCATAACAGGGAGACTTCCTAATCCTCATGAAACACTCCGCAACCATCCACATAAAACTTCATTAAAGCTTCAACACTTTCAGTGACACCTCCAGAAACACTCTTCTTTTAACAGGATTCTTTTACTTCTCCTACAAGTGTAACCACGTCTCAGACACTGCTTAGGTGTGATTTTGGGACAAATCCATCAAAAATGGTTATACAAGGAACCAGCAATGAGTGCAAGTGCCAGAAGGAGGGGAAGAGCACAAGCCAGGGATGAGAGCATCCCAAAACTCTCTGGATCAGTTCCTGGTCCTTTTAGGATAAGTCATTTAGCATTCTTGTGCCTGATTGACCATAACATTATTAAGAGATTGGTAATGAATTTCAGTGGTCTATAAATCACATGGGAAACTATTACTCTTAATACAAGTGTTATGAGGCTTTAATAATTAATGCCATCTAAACTGCTTCCCAGAGATGACTATTTCAATCTGATTGCTGTGGCCAGAGCCATCCCTCATCCTGTAAGGAGCCTGTTTTCCAGCTGATGTGGAACCCAGATTGGTCCCCACCCCAGAGACTACTCACGAAAGGGGTTGTATTACTGGTACATCCACTCCTTCAACAGAGGGTTAACAGAACACCAGCAGTGAGAGCAGACTTACTGCCACATCTCTTCTAGCTTGTCTCATGGAAGGGCACTGCCCTCTTGTAGGATCAAGTGGTGGGATGTGGGCACTTCATGCCCTTTCAATGCTGCCTGCTGACCCAGGCCACCACAGGGGCTGAAGGATGCTCCTGGCCAAGCTGTGAAGGTGAAACCCCTCAACTGGCACATCCTAAGCTTTGCTTAGCTCCATTTAGACCCATATGATGGCAGAAGGTATTACTTCTTGAATGAGGTACATAGCTTGGCTCACAGGTGCACCGTTGTTACCCCTGAGGCAGAGCCTCTCGGGGATGCTGGCTGCGAAAGGCTCTGCGCTGCTCTTCAGGCTTTCACAGAGCGTGTGGGTGCAGAGACAGAAATAGAGTTACACCTCTCCTTGTGCTTCCTCCCAAGCAGCAGCTCCAGGAGTAGGGATGTGCAGGAGAAACCGCAAACGGAGCTTCAGCTCCAGCGGCCCACAGGGGTCCATCCCTTTCACTTAGTCATGGTGCCAGCGGGATATGAAAACCAGTCCCTGGTGGTCTTCGGTGCCAGGAGTTTTCCCTCTTTTCCTACTTTCACTGTTTGAAAGCTAAGAAAATAATGATGTTGCTGCTGAGATAAGAAGCAGCCATTGGCTGAGGGTGTGCTGACTGCTGCCATGTAACCAGACCTGGTTAGAACTACCCGTCCTAAGGCTGCATCCCACCTGCACAGCAGCCATGGGTGCTGCTGCTGCGGATCCCAAACCCAGGCTGCTGGTGCCAGTTTTGCTGTCAGTGTGATCCCTGTCCTACAAAAACCCTCTCATGGAAAGAGAAAGTCTCCGAGGTCTCCAACAAGTGGTTCCCAACCTTGGGAAGCTGCATGGGGACAGCAGCGGGGTGGCAGCGGGGTCCCCCAAGCATCGTGCCAAGGCTGCTGTGCATCTCTGCAGTGGTCCAGTGTCTGCCCAAGCCTCCCTCCAGCCGTGCTGCCCACGAGATGACAAAAACAGCAAGCACCAAGGCAGCTGGCATGGAGCAGCCGTCACCTCCCACACAAGCCACAGCAGCTTCAGCATCACATCGCCAAATCACTGCATCTGCCTGCTCCCCTCTTTCCCTGGCCAAACAGTGCGATCTCTGCCTAGCGCAGATTTTCCCTTCCTGGGTCCAAAATGCTCCTTTACAGCCTGGTGTACAGTTAAAATTGGGTGATAGCTGTTGTCTGATGCCAGAGCAGAGCCACACGTGGGCTTGAGGGGTGGCTGCCTGTGGGCACCTCATCCCAGCCACTTTGCTGGGCAGGTTTGGTGTCTGAATAACTCAGTGTAAATTGGAGGGAGTGGGATGGGAGGCAAACCTGAGGGGTTCTATCAGCTTCTAGCCCAGGCCTTCTATTGTGTAATGTCCTGAGAGCCTTCTGCTGGAAGGGAAAAGGCTCCCTGCAGGTGCCACCTGCAGAAATAAAACACTTGTGACTGAAAGGAGATGGGTTCTCAACATCCCAGAGCCAGGGAGAGCTGCTGTAAAGGATTGCATCTGATCTGGGCCATTAATGAAGCTCAGATCCCTCTTCACTAATAAGATTTGATCTTGAGTGCATCATAAAGCTGCCTGATCAGGCATCTCTAGAACTTCATGCATCCATGCTAGTTTTGGACATGGTGTTCAAGGGAGCTCCGCCAGCACAAGGATCAAACTCAGCCCTGCTGGCACAGCTGTGTAACACCCTGTGAGGTGCAAGGTCCCACCCAGCTTCACTGGCCCCACATGTAGCTCTGGTGAGAGATCCTCACTCTTGGGGAGGAGGCAGCAAGGCAGGAAATAGTGAAAAGTGGGGTGGTTGAAGTGATGCTGCTTTGGAGATGCAACACAAGATGGTGTCACATCATTCAAAAAGCAGGATGTGGCAAAGCTGTTCCCCAAGTTTTGGAGGATGCTGAGAAGATGCTAAGTAATAATTGTCCTGCCTGGAGCAGCCACACCAAGCTTCTGGCCAGGAGAAGGGGTTTCTGTTTCACATTCACCATCTTTTGCTGTCAGCAGGAGGTAGGTGTTATGGGGAAGGAATTATGGATAGCTGCTAACGAGGTAGGAAAACTCAGCTGTGTTCCTGAAGTTTTGGGAGGCATCACTGGTACCATCCTGCAGCCGGGCCCTGCCATGCTGGTGGGAGACTCCTGGTGTTAGTGCTGGCATCATGCATGTGCTTTGCCGTGACAGAAGTTGCTGTGTGAGACAAACAGCGATGGAAAATCCATCCGAGTGTTTTAGCCCAGGCACATTTGTACAGAAGCAAAGAGGGGGGAGGCTGAAGCCCAAAATGTGTATTTCTAATTGATTATATGCATGGCTGCTGGGGGCCTCTCACACTGTAATGGTTAATTATGTCACTGGCTGTATGAGCTGCAGCCTTTATTCATGCTGTATTCAAATAACCTCACTCAGGGCCCAAGCAGCTAATACAGCAGATTGCCTGGCTGGAGGAAGTGAAGGTCTGCTTTGTTTTGCTGGGTTTTTTTTACCAATATAGAGCAAAGAAAAGTGATGGAGCAGCCAATTACTGTATTAAATAATGCACCCTGACAGAACATGATGAACATCCAGGTCTAGCCTGCCTCTTGTAACTTGACTTTATTGGTAATTCCCTGCTGATTAGCTTGATCCCAGGGAAGCTGCCTCCTCTCTGGAGCTGCATGGGGCTGGGGTACCAGAGGGCATCACCTCTTTTTCCCTCCATGTTCCAGTGCAGAATCCATTCTGTTGACCCAATCCCTGCTCTGTCCTTACTGTCCACCCCCTGATGGATTTGCTGCCTTCTGTTCTTCCCCAAATGCGAATGAGAGGTACCAAATACCTTTAGGGATTGTTTTGAGAGCTCCAGCTGCAAGGAAGGATATGGTGAAGGATGCATCTTTGCAAGGCCAGCCAATTCTTCCTTAGGGGGCCGAGACATGAGCCCAGGAAAACATGCTGAATTTGCTGTAACTTAAGTATTGCTGTAATTTAGGGCAAAAGAACATATGTGGAGGTGCAGTCCCTCAAATCAAATAACCACTATGCCCTGGCTGCCAGCTGCGGCCCTACTGGGAGGCAGGTTTCCACCAGCCTGCATCTCACTGGGGGCTCCACTGTGTTCTCGTTGGAGAAATCAAATCTTGCACATCTGCATCATTTTCCATTATCTCTATCAATCAAGGCAGAGCTCAACAAGCCAGAGCACTGACTTCAAACAAGCCATCCAACCAACACCTCCTCTGCATCTCATATCTCACTTTGCTTTGAATTATTCCATCTAGGATTGTCATGTTTTGCTAACTGAGGATGCCTCCAGCAGAGATGCAGCACGTTTTAGCCAGACCACTGGGAACTGGTGCCCTAAGTGCTTATTAGAAACTGAATTTATCAGACTTGTAATTAACAGATTGCTTTTGTTGCTTTCCTGCTGGGAGGTGTCAGAGGTGCCCCACTGCTGCTGCTGCCCAGCTCCCCACTGCAGGAGCCACCCTGGCACATGCAAAGCCCTTGCACAGAATAAGCTCTCACTGCAGAAATCACTGCACAAATCTGAGCTTCTGGCACTGCAATGGTGCTGTGAGCTGCCCTTGGCCCTGCTGCTGGGACTGGCAGCTCACATAGCAGGAGTCACCTGCATGGTGTGTGACCCTTTCCTCGTCCTTCCTGCTGTATCCAGTGAAGTGTCCCATTGCTGGACGCACTGGTAGAGCTGTCTGCTTATTCTTGGCTCTGCTGCTAATATTCTGTGTGTTTTGGCTGAATCACTTCTGAACGTGGCTTCCAGAGCCCACAGCATCTGCCCCTGTGTCCCTCTCCTTTAGCCCTGGCTTTCTCCCTGCCCTGGTCCCAGCCCTGCCAAGCTGGCTTTCTCCAGCACCCTGGCTTGCTGCCCTCAGCCCTCCCCGCTGTCTGCTCTGTCCTTAGCTGTGGGTGTGTTTAACCCACAGAGCCAGTTTTCCTTTCCCCAGCTCCCAGATGTGTTGTGTCCCAGGGTGCATCACCCACTCAGCGCTGCCACCCCAGAGGGGACCATGGTTTTCCAGGTTAGGGGGTGCAGGGGGGCTGTGGAGGTGCTTGGAAGGGAGGATGTACAGAGGGGCAGTGCTGGCTGCTACCCCTGCCCCGTGGTGAACTGGAGCCACCAGCTACAGCCGAGGGGCTGGGGAAAGCAGGGAGCTAGAGGAAAAGAGCACAGAATAGAGGGAAAGTGAGGGAATAAAGGGAAAAGGGTGGAAGGGGAGGGAGGAATGGGGAAAGGAGGGATAAAGAGAAGTGAGAGGGAGGTAGGAGGGGTGGATGGAGAAAAAGGGAGGGGGAGACGGGGAGGACGGAGAAAGGGAAGGAGGGATGGAGGGAGGGAAAGGGGGATGGATGAAGGGAGGGAGGGAGAGGTGGGCTGTCCCCGCCGGCGCCATGTGATGCCCTCCCCTCCCCGCCGCGGCGCGGAGCATCCCCGAGGCCGACGGCCGCGTCCCGCTGCCGGAGCAGCGCCCGCGGGGCCGGTGGGTGCCGGGGACCGAGCGGAGCGGGGCGGGGGGAGGCGGGTGCCGGTGCCGCTTCTCGTGTCGGGGCCGGGCTGCTCCCGGGACCGGGGAGGGGGGTCCCGAATTGGATGTGAAGCCCTGGAAGTTTAAAGCGGGGGGGGGGGTGTCTGGGAGGTGCCGCCGGGCGCGGAGGGGCACGGGCTGAGGGATCAATGGATCCATTTGTACACGTTCCATATCCCCCCGAGCCGGAGCCGGCCCTGCCCTCGGTAGCGCCCGGGGGGAGCGGGCACCGCCCCGGGCAGCAGCTGCCGCTCGGGCTCCGATGCGCGGAGCCGGTCCCAGTGCCGAGAGCAAGGCAGGACCCGGGTACCGGTGCCCGTGTGGCCGTGGGGAAGCGGTTTCGGTACCTGCCCGGCTGCTCCGGCCCCGCTCCAACGGCACCGCCCGGGCGCTGGGAGCCGGGGTTTGCCGGAGCCCCGAGTCCTCCCGGTCAGACCTCAGAGCACCGGGATCCGGTAAATCCCGGGTTCTACACCCAGGGGTGTTCCTCCACCAGGCTGCTCGGACACAGAGGCCATCGCTTGGGCGCTGTGAGCATCCATCCCTCTCCTCATCAGTGACTTTGGCACGTTGAGCCTCGGAAAGGAAGTGTATTTTCATAAAGACTGGTTTGGGTTGGAAAACACCTTAAAGCTCATCCAGTTCCAACCGCCTGCCACGGGCAGGGACACCTTCCGCTAGAGCAGCTTGCTCCAAGCCTCCCATCCAACACAGGGAATGTAAAATTTGCTGGAAGTCAGGGGCTACCAGTGCTTTTCACTGTTGCAAACCCTTTGGAGAGAGGAGTGTGAATCCAGGTGAAGCCACCTGAGAAAAACCTCACCCGGTTGTTAAGTAAAGTAGAGAAGAAAATAACCCAAACCAGCTGGTTCATGTGTTACCATAGGACCAGGCAAACAGGGACGTGGAGCCTGTCTGCACTTCTCCATGCACTATTCATATCCCGTGAAAGGTGGTGAAATGGGAAGTGTGGTACCTCACCACCACGGCTGTGAGCAGGGAGGGCATCCGACACATCCTTCGACTGTTGGTTTATCACTTGGCATGTTGTAAAACTTCATCAGCCCCTGACAGGTGATGTTTTTTGCAGCTCTTAGGTTGGGTCTCCCAAGCAGAGCAGCAGGAGGCTCCTTGGTGGTGACCAGAGAGGACTCTGACCTGCAGCATTGCCACCCCCATCGTGTCCCTTGCACCCCCTGAACCCACACAGGGGAGACGGCAACAAGGAGGAGGCCCCACTGGAGCTGGTAGGTGCCCTGCATGGTGCAGGTGAGCCTTTGGGAAGGGCAGCAAGGGCATTGCACCCACTGAAAACAGCACTGCTCCAGCAGGAACGCTGAAAAAGAGCATTTCCATTGAGTTCTGTGCAGTAGCAGCAGCACTGGTGGTGTGACCTGGGCAGGAGGGGCATTCCTGTGTTTCCATCACTGCTGCCCTTTGGTTTCACAAGTGTATTTGGGCTCCCTCCTGTCAGAGGCTCATCAGCTGCTGGATCTCAGGGACACCCTTTCATTTTGTCACAGCACAACCATGTAAAAAGGCAAAGGGCTCTCTGCAGCCCACCCTGCTGCCATCATGCCTTCCCCTCAGCAGCCCTGCGGCTGCCCCACGTGGCATCCAGGAGACAGAAATGCTTCTGTGTGTTTATTGCTCCGATCCCTTGCTGGATTGCTGTAGCTGTTGAATATATTCATTGAGCTGAATGAATCCCCACCTGGCAGCATCCATACCACAGCTTTTGCAGCTTCAGCTTCATTTATGGAGAGGGAAGCGAATATAAAACTCTAAAGGGAAATAATGCACAAGCCTGCAGAGGCTTCAGCAGTATCTGTAAGCTGTGAGCTATGCAAGGGTACAGTGCTGGGAGGTTTCTGTAAGTCAGATGGGAAGATTTAAAGCCCTGGGTTTAAGATGGCATTTTGAAAACAGCTGGATGATGGAGTCTAGGTCAAAAGTTACCTGGGAGCCTTAATCTGATTGAAATTAAAGGGAGTTTGAGCTTCAGGTGTGTTCTAGAGAGAGGATTGGGAATCAAAGTCATACCAGTTTATTCTTTTCAGCCACAAACTTCTGACATTTGTAGTGAAATATTTACTAGGAGAATGGAATTTGTAACAGGACAACACTGATGCACCATCAGGCTCGGAAAACGGGCTGTTAAGCAGAGTGGAGTTTATGTCTGGTCCCTTTGGAAGTTGGGAGTTGCAGTTTTTCCTTTATTACAAGGAAGGTATCACTGCTCATCAGTGAGAAACCTCGTTAGAGCGGTGCTGAGGGCCGCACCGAGGGGGCTGTTTGAGCAGCACAGCAGATGGCATCCACTGACCCAAGAGAACCTGCATTTTCCCCCTCGGTGCCCATCCAGTGCTGCTGGGTGACATCCGCAGGGAGCAGAGGCTCGGGTCTGCCTGGGGAGGACTTCGTTCACCCTCAAAGCCCTACACATGGGCAGCCCCATGGCCCTGGCTTCCCACGAGACATTAAACACTTGGTTACAGTAAATGTTCCTTTTCCCTGCACAGCTCTGGCTGGGAATAGCTCTGATTGCTCAAAGAGGTCTGTTTGGCAGATGTGGCCCGAGTGTGGGACTGCAGAGGGGTTCTGGATGGGCATCTGTGTCCTCCAGTGCTCTGCAGCCTGCAGGACAGTGGGGATAGCAGAGCTGTGAGCAGGGTGCGGAGAAACCTCAGTGTTTGCAGCAGTCACAAAGTTGGGTGTAGGCAGGAGGAGTGATTTGGTAAGCATTTGGTTATAAAAAATCCATCAGCAGAGGTTGATACCATAATGCCAAGCCTGGGTGAGCCATTGCAACCACTGCTTGGATGGGTGCAGACAGGAAGGTTTCCAGTCCTTCCTCTGTCAGGACTCCCTGGGTGCCATGTCCCAGGCTAAAGGTGAGCTGTTTGTTTGTAAGGGTTAGCATTTGGGGGACTGAGATACAGTCTATCACAGAAGAAAAACATTGAACTATTTGCAAAGTGCTGACCTGAGGTGATGCTCAAGTCAGACACTGGAGCAAATGGAAGGTGCCAATGGGGATCCTGCAGCAGGTGCTGGCACAAGGCAGATGGGGGAATCTCGGAGCATCCTCCATTGGAAGGATGGACTACGAACATCCTGCTTGTCTCATAGCTGGAAGCCTGTTATCCAAGAGCTCTTCCCAGGACTGTGGCAGGGTCTAGATGAAGCTGTGAGGGACTGGCAGCTGCTCTGCCTTCATCTCCTGCCACCATGCCTCTTACCTGAGTGAGGGTGGATGTCATCGCTTTCTACAGGAACAGAAAGCTTTGCCTGTGACATTCCCAAAACACCTGATCCAAGCTGGGGCCCTGCTTTCTTTTGTCACCATCCCCAGTTTCCCTCGTGCCTCTGTGAGGATGCTCAGAGCTGCACTGACTTGTATTCAACAGAAAATGGTCCTCTCCTGGATGCTGCTGGGAGACCCTGGAAGATGCAGATGGCCAGAGGCAACACAGCAAACCCAAGCTAGGAAACTGGGTGATTTGGGAAGTTGTGTTAAATCCTGCTGAAGCTTGAGTTGCTGCTTGGGAAGCAGCACATCTCTCCTGAAACACGGAAAAGGTGACTACAGGCAAACTGGGACAGAGGTGCCCTTTTCTGTACAATGTACAGGTAAAGACATATGAAGAGGAAAGCAACATCAGCATCATGTGTGTCAGCTGCTTTACAGCTCTTACTGTAAAATATCTTCCAGACCACATGGAGAAGAAAATATCAGGTCATTATAAAGGTGGCAGGAGAGGTACTGCTGGGGGGGATGCTGCAGATGCAAGCACATGGTGGTACCAAGGAACTGTGTGGATAGGAGAGGGGTGCTGGTGAAGACCAGGTACACCAGGCAGGCCAAGTTTCACCTGGTAATTGGTGCTGGCCTGGGGGAAGGATGGAAACTGGGTGAGACCCAGTCTATTCCCTTCCCCATGATGTGGCTGTGCTGCTGGGCTGTGCTCCTCTGACCAGGTCATGCTGCCTCTGCCTGGCTCAGGCTGCTCCGTGTCCCGCGTGGCTTTTCCTGCCCTGTTTGCTGAGGCATTTACTGTTAAACCCTGGAATTAGCAATGAGCCTTGCTAAAATCTGGGTGATGATAGGAAGTTTGATATCTCCAATGGTGTGAAAATGCTTATTATGTACTTCAGTATTCCTGACTACTGAACCCAGCAAGTTACACAAAGCAAAGGCCTTTCCTACACGAAGATGGGACAAAACTGTGGCTGCTCAGCATCAGACCTGGGGAGCTTTTGTATGATGACCTCTGCTATCTGAGGAGCTGTGTCCCAAACTGCTCAAGCAAAGCTGGATGGAGCTGCCATTGTGTTTGGTAACAGGGCTTCACGACAGCCACGAATGGCGCTTGGGTTATTAAGATGTTTGCCTGACGTGTGGGCGACACAGCCCTTCTCCACTTTATTTATGCCATTGTTTTGGTACTCAGAGGCTGGTTTCTAAGCACGTCTCCTGTCTAACAAGGCATCTGCTTCATGCTAGCAATCATGTTTAATCACACCAAAGGGACAGGGGTCTTGGCAGCCACGTGCAACCTCCCCACCGTGCTGCTTTGCAGCCTTCATCGCTCAGAGATGCCGGCGGCGCTCGGGGGATTTCTTGCTTTCCCTCATTTATCACACTGAAAGTGCTCATAAAAGCACTCCAGCTGCCAGTGCTGGTGAGAGGAGCTGCAGCAGGCAGGGATGAGCCGTGGTGGGCTGCCCTGCCTCCATGGCACGGGTACCTGCGGCTCGCTTCTCCCCACTGCTGACACGGGGGAGGTGGAAGAGTTTTAATTAGCTCTTGATGCTATTTTTTGTCTCCCAGTGCTTCATTTAGCTCAGGCTGTCATACACTGGTGGGTAAGGGGAAATAAGGAAACAGAGGTGTTGGCCACGCTCTGTGGAGCAGCCTCATCTCTCGGAACCTGGGCTGGGAATGGGGCTTTTCTTAGACCTGTAGCAGTAGGAGTTTATAGCCCAGAGAAATCTCATGTGCTGGCGTTCAAAACACACAGCTCCTGCAGGGCTTGCACTGCATTTGTGGGCTGTGTTCATATCCACTTCGTTTTCAAACAGCATCAGTGTCTTTAGGAAAAGGTACCCGAGATGTTCAGTCGTGCCGTGACCTGCCTTGCTGCTGGAAGGACATACAGAAAAGCTATTGTGCAAAGAAGCTAATTCTCCTCTTTATAATATACAAGGTCATTGCAGGACTTTGTGGCATCTTGAATGTTGAAGTGAAGAGCCAACTGTTAAAGATTTAATATTCCACTAGACCAGCCAGTCTTGGTCCTGTTGGAAAGCAGATGCCTGCAGCTGAGGGTTACATTGCCTTCACTCCTTCTTCTTGCTGGGCTTGCTCAGGCTTCCTCTGTGCCAGCCAAGTTGAGCAGAGGGAAGCACTGCACCGAAGCCAGAAGAGGGTCACTGGATCGTTGGGTTACTGGAGTTTATATATTTAGGGTATAAAATATAGCTTGTAATGTACCGCAGGCAGAGATTAATGGGCAGGTCCTGCTCTCCGCAGCACACAGCACTGAGATCTCTGCAGCTTTTACAGCCAAGTCCCCAGCTGGATTGCTCTGCAGCTCTAGATATCCCCCTTTTATTCTGCTTTTACAGCTCTTTGTAGGGTATTGAAATGAGCAGTTTGAGTCATGCCCCTGGCTGCGAGCACTCTGACACACTGCAAGGAGGGGAATACTGTACGTTAGCTTTGATATGCAGAAGGTGAGAGGGCGTTGGGAAGGGCTCTGCAGAGGAAAGGGCTCAGCTATTGTTACTGGTGTAAACCTTGAACGTACATATATATAGTTCAGACCTAGGGAACTGGACTTGGGTGCGTGGGCAAGCTGCAAGCTCAGAGCTTCAGCTCTCATTTTGCTCTTGAGTGATACACTTTGTGTAATGCTTTCCTACAAACCCACAGGGTAGGAGCTGCTGGCACGTGGATGCAGAGACCTGACTGCTGCACCCCTGTCCCCGTGTCCCCACAGCGTGCAGCCCTCCTGTGAGTCAACTGGAGAAGCAGAAGCAAGGCTGTGTCCTCTCCTATGGTCCAGGAGCTCTTTCCTATGATCCAGGAACACTTCCCTATGGTCTGGGAGCTCTTTCCTATGGTCCAGGAGCTCTCCCCTGCCCACTGCTAAAGCCACATCGCTCCCAGCTCCTCCCAGAGCCACCCTGCAGCCAAAGCATCCATCAAGGACCCTTTGGAACCCGAGCTTCCCATCTTTGCAACCAGTGCCGCAGGTTTTCTGCTTGCCAAAGCATTGCTTCAGCTGGGGTTAAGCAAGGTAAGAGCCTTCACCACCAAGGAGAAAGGAGATGCGCGCGTGGGATGTGCTGCATAAAAGGTTTGGGAAGGGATATTTGCGGATGCAGAAAGCCCATGTGAATGAGCACTGGCTGTACACACATGGGCTGTGCCAGCAGCGTGTGAGCCGGGACCAGGGGGCTGCTGAGTTGATTGCTGAATGTTACTGGCATCATTCAAAGCCATTAGTGTGAGCGAGCTGGAGCAGAGCCATCGCCTCGGCACGGGCACAGCAGAGATGGCCTATTTGGGAAAGTGTCTGCTTCCAGGGCTGGGGTGGGGAAATAAACCTCAATTGCTGCTCCTTTGACCTTGGGAACATCATTTGATATTGAACCGAGCCGAAGGAGCGCTCAGTTAACCAGTAACAACCTCCTCTGCAAACCAGACCTAGGCAAAAAGGGCAGGCTTTGAGCAGTCCACAGCAAAAAGGCTGGTGTGTGGTTAAAGGAGAGGGAAGAGCAGCTGAGGGTCAGCCTTGAGGGCTCGCTAAGCAGGCAGTGGGGTCAGCAGTAAAATATGGTACTTTCTATGCAACATTTCCTTCACTCTTGCACTACCATGAATGGATTTTTGATCAAGCATAAAAAGATAACTCGGACAAGAAATAAAGTATGGGAAGTGCTAGGGAATAGGGGAATTTCTCAGGAAAAATATGGAAGTCAGTTATAAGAGAAAACTGCCAAGTAATCCCACTCACAAAATGAGTGGTGAGCATTTCAGCGGGTAGCTTCTTCCTATTGTTTCTCAGGTGTTCCTTATGTCTGATGACAAGCAAAAACTTAACAGGTTTATCATTGCTGTGGCTCAATCTAAGTGTAAATAACTCACAACCAGCCTTCTGGGGGTTGTTTTAAACCCTCTCTGGAGAGCCTGTGAGCCCTGCGTGCTCGATAGAGTCAATGCTGCTGTTTCTACCCGGCTGTAATGGCACTGCAAGGGAAAGCTTTCAAGTCCAGTATTGATCCTTTTGAAGTTTATGGCTCATAGTCACAGTTACTAGTGCCATTCAAACACCCATGAGATGGACTGTTTGGTTTCTTAGTATCAGGCTAAACCTCCTCCACTCAAAAAGATTTATTTCTGTACTTGATTTTACCAATACATGATTTCTCTCCCAGAAACTGAGCTGTTTATGACACTAATGCAGCTCTATAAAGCTGCCTTATATATTTCTGTCTTCCTATGTGCCACGTGAGATGGCATGTGCCAGCAGCCCAGGACAGTGCTCCTGGGAACCCTATGGACCAGCATCCCACATCCCCTTCAACCATTTCCCATTAAGTGGACCAGCACAGGAGATACTGCTTTTCTCTGCAGCCATTCCTGCTCCCCTTCAGCTGGTGTATGGAGGCAGAGCAATCTTGTGCTTCTCTCCTACCTGCAGTACACCTTTGCCAAGCTTCAGGAGGGACTGTTGCTTCCCATGCAGTAATTTCCCAATCACCAAGTATTCAGGTTTGTGGAGCTGCTTCTCCTGGGTTTCCAGATGGAGCAGCAGGCACTGCACACACCATCTCCTCCTCTTCCCCCTCTCTGATGAGATGCGTACACTTGGCTGTGGCCAAAGTCACCTCACTACATGCTCCTCACATTGATAAAACCCTTTGTAAACTGACAGCATCAGTTCAATTCAGCAGGATGCAAGCTGCATCTTGCACAGGCTGCTTTAGGACCAAAGCATTTACACCCTTCGGGTGCTCCGTTAGCTCAGTGGGAACCACTATGTCCTTTCACAACCACCTTTCTATTGCACTGGAGGTATTAATGGCCAAATTAGGCTTTTCTGGATTTGCCCATGAGGGAGCCAGGGTGATGATGTGCTGTCTGAAGGGAGTGACAATGTGGCAGTGGCCTTAGCCAGCCCCCAGCATGGTCCTGCCTGCCTAAGCCCTACCAGCTCGGGGAAGTTTAGTTCTGAAATAGCCCCTCTCCTTGACCTATTTACTTCTGCCCACGGCTGTGGCTTGCATTGTGTCCTGAGGAAGAGATCGTGCTGCTTGAAGGCCCTTTATTTTTAGCCAGCCCAGTTTTCTTGTTCCAGCTTAGTGGGAGCTGGTCCTTTCAGCTCAGCTCCATCACAGCTCTTGCTCTCCTGCATTTGCCAGCCCTTACCCATGTCCCTGATGCTCTTGGTATATCGGTTGCTCACTCAGTGGGTTTTCTACCCCTTCTTCCACCAGGCTTCATTCCCTCTCCTTTATCTTCTGCTCAGTTTCTCGCACTGCTCCACGTCCATGGCTTAACCTCTGATTTCTCCCTGCCCTTGGCAGGGATCAGGCTTTCACAAGCACAGGTTGCCAGGCTTGTCCTGGATACCAGCACCCCTCCACAAACAAAACCTTCCCTCCCGTCTGCTCCAGTAACCTTGGCAGTGCTTCCCCTCTTCACAAATGTCAGGAAATTGGAAATGATGCTGTAGCCACATAAAAACCAATCACTGCCTCTTTGGCCTGCTTGGCCCTGCTCTTTCTACCTTTACCCAGGGCAGGAGGTGCTGTTGTTTTCTGCTGAATATGGAGTAGTGATTTATTGATACAACCACCCTCTCCAGACCAGTGATATACCTGTTTTTCTCAGCTCATCCACACAGCCCAGAGTGGTGGCAGCTTGTGCTTGGTGTTCTGTCATAGAGCAGTGGGCTCAGGAATCTGGACCACGATAATATTTCCTTTCTGTGGCTGTGGAGCAATAGGCAAGGACTTGAGCTCGCTCCTCATCTGAGTGAACTGCCTTAGGAACACCACCAATTTCGTTTCATTTTCTGAAGGGATCAGTTCTGCATGGGCTGTGTGCAGCTTCCATCAGAAGCTGTGGCTCCAGGACAAGAAGAAATTCATTACAAGGACCGCAGATTACATTGCAGACTGCCTGTATTGTTCCCTGGACTCCTACCAGAAGGCACAGTGTGATTGAAGGAGCAGGAGCTGTTATAAGGTCCTATTTCTTGGAAATCTTTGGGGCTATATTCACTTAATTTAAAATACAGCTACTGTTGGAAGCCGACCAGCATCACCTTTACCAGCTGTAGGAAGCAGAACACAGCTGGTAAAGGTTACTGGGGACTAAATCCTTGCTGAACATCAAGCCAGCTCCTGCTGGTGTCCTTGAAAACTATTTCTCTTGGGAGCCCTGCTAATTCTCCAGGCACTGGACATGGGGAAGGTTTGATCCAAGCGGCTGCACCATCCCTGCCTCCTGTTCCCCACCAGGTCAGCTCAGTTTTATGTGCCAGCAAGGCAGTAATAGGGATCAGTCTCTAATGCATTCGTGATTACATGGAAATTGAAGTGTGAGAGAGAAAAGAAATGAGGCAATTGAGAGGCGTGACTCTGCCTCCCAACCCCTCTCCCTGCTGCTGGCGTCACCCCAATGGCCAATATAAATGATGCTAAATGAGTATATTTTCCAGTGTCTGGTGTTGATGGGTAGCAAATCATAGGCGATACTTAGCTATTTCCCTCCAAATGGCTCTATCTAGACCTCCATATACTCCCTACTTTGATTTTTTTGGCTCCTCATTAAGTAGAAATGTGCAAGGAGGATGGTTGTCAATGATACATGAGCCAAGAATAGACTCCAGCTCCTTTTACCATCTTGGCACCAAACTGCCAAGAGGGATGAGACTCCCTGTAGTAACCACTGCTCATTTTGAGGCAGCAACTAGAAAATACAGCTCTAACTGAGTTAGGGGGAAGAAGGGGTGAGCCAGATGATCTGTGCTTTCCCTGCTTATATTGCTGGATCAAATGGGATCTATAAGAAATGGAAATGGCATATTCCTATCTAGTGAAGGAGTAGAGCAGCGTGCTAATGTCTATAGCTCTGTGCTAGTCTCTCCCCTTGACAAGGTCATCCTCAGGCAGCCAAGATGCAAGGCTACCTTTGCAGGATGTGCTTCTTTCCCCCATAGCTTCCAGTTTCTTTAGCTGCTGCCTCCTAATTCCTCAGGGAAAACAAACCTGAACATCTCCTCTATACATCTCACTCCTCACATCCCTAGCAGGGAGATGTTCCTCCTGGGAACACATCCTGCTTTTCTTGGGCTGAGGGAAGCATTAAACGAGAACGTTAAAAATGAGGCTTGTTAGCAAAGCCAAAGGTGGAAAGCTTTCAGTACTGAGCTGGAGCTCCTGCTTGGGCTGCCTGTGAGCGACAGCGCTCCTCTTCCTGTAGGTCGGTACCTTCTGGGAAATGGCTCAATGTGAACGTAGCAAAAGCCAAATCCTCAATTTCATGTGGAAGAGAATTGTCAGAGCTGCTGCAGCGCTTGAGGGTGCAAGTACATCTGCTTCCAACCAAGATGTACTTGCCTGCTTTGGACTCGGGATAGGATGTGATACTAAAAGTCTCTCTCCCCCTTTTTCTCTTTACACAAGAGTTTGCAACTCTTCCAGCAGCATTAGCTGCTCTTCTCATTGCTGCCTGGAGCAGCAAGCTGGAGGTGCAGATGGCCTTTGGGTATTGCATCTGTTCAGTAAATGCACTTATTTGGAGTCCATGGTAGCTACAAGTTTCCTTCGTATCAGTCTTGTTATGACATTTGCTGCAGGATCAGCCCAGGACCGGGCTGTCAGGAGCTTGGTGCTCTTCACTGTGCTATAGATGTGCTGGGGATAGGCACTGCAAGAGCACAGAGCTCCCAAGAGAGCAGCCATTCAGCAGCAAGAAATAACTATCAGCCTTGTCTGCTCTTATTAATCATAAGTGAACTATGGCAGAACACTGTCTTTGGAGACTTCTGAGTGTAAAAGTGCAAGCTGTGGGGACTTTTGGCATCTCTGAGAGTCACAGGAAGCAAGTAAGGATTAATAAGTTTATATCAGAGGTGCAAGAAAAAAGCCCTCCTCTGGTCTGCTCGCCTGCCCTGATGTGTCAGAACAGCAAGTTCTGATCTCCCAGCCCTGGAAGGAGCCACATCCGATTTAATCACTAAACCCAACCACTTTTGCTGTGATAACAGCAATGAGTTTCCCTTCCAAAGATCCTGTTCACCAACACGTGCTGCTATAGCCAGCACCGGCTGTGAATACAGGCATGGTGGAGTTATTCCTGCGTGGGTTCAAAAGCTGACACCTAGGGACATACATGACATACCTGCCCTGGCTCTATTGCTTATCCATCACTATTTTGGGAATAGGTGTTTTAAATGAGATATGTGTTTAGGAGGATGCTGCCCTCCTTCCCAGGCAGTGGGATGCAGCTGTGCTGCGCAGCTCCCTCCCATTTGTTGTCCCTTGAAACTTCAAGCAGCGCAAACACAGCTTGTGCACTTTCAAAGGGAGCCCAAGGGAGATGCATCCCGCTGCTGCTGCGTTAAATTGGGCAGATTTTGTCATCTAGCTGGATTATTTTTAATTTTGTCCCATATTGTTTGCACTGCTGAACAACAGCAAAATGTGCCTTGGAAAACACACATTACACTGCACTTTGTGATTCATACTGCTTTTATAGCAGCAGTCAGTGCTATCTGCCTCATTCCCACTCCCCAGAAGACCGTCACTCGCACGTATATTTCCCTTCTTGCTCTTGTTCCTCTCATCTTTCATTTCTGTGGCTTTTTCCCCCTATACAAATTGCACTTTTTCTCTGCCGCACCAAGAACTCCGGTTTCTGGTGATGTTTTGTCAGCCTGCAGGGCACCGTGAGAGCCGCAAAACTCCTCATGTCAGCAAAAATAGAAGGAAATAAACTAAGAAGATTCCATCCATAAGCGACATGGGGATGAGGGAAGTTTTTGCCTCCTTCTTTAATGTTTGCCCAGGGCCTGACTGCAGCTCTCTGGCCCAGTTTCCCTGCCTCCCCCTGAAGCACAAGCTGAGTTTGGACCAATTCAGTCTGTGCGTTCAGTCAACACCAGTACTGATCAGCAAGCACAGTAAAAAGCAAAAGAAGGCAAGATTGCATCATGCTCTGCTCTAAGGTGTTTGATGATGTTCAGTGTCCATAGACATAGCATGGTTTTTGCAAAACAGGGACCTTGATCCCCTAGTGGGTAAATCTGCACTGGAAGAGGTAAAATGGCACTGTTGGTAGTGGCTGGAGCTGCACTGGAGGTGGTTTTGGTCCAGCAGCTGAAAGCATCTTTGTTGACCCGTTAATGGGTCCATGAGTCTCAACAGGCTCCTGTGCCAAGGGGATACAGCTCGTGCTGCCACCCTTCATGGATAAGGCTCTGAGGATGGCAGATGCTGTGGTTTGGCTACGTCCTTGGGGAGACAAGCACCAGGTTTGGCCAGAGCAGCAGGAATTCACCTGCAGCAAACAAAATGGGAGCCAATGAGCTGCTCCTGGACAGCTATTCTGACACTGCTCCCTCCCAGTGCTGGCACCCAGCATTCAGCACATTCCCAAGCCCTGGGCCAGCATGGGGCAGCAGTCGGGTGGGATTTAGTTCAAACTCTCCATCTGTCAAGGCTCACTGTGATTGTTTTAATGGCTTCTTTCAGCTCGACCTATATAAGAACAGAGGGCAGAGGGCACAGCTTTGACACATCCATCCCTCCAAGGAGCTGTAGACGGCTCCGTGCCGACGGCTGCATCCCCGCTCCCGGCAGCCGCTGCCTCGGCCCCCTATGCTGTTGGGGATGAGTGCCTGCAGCAGGAAGGCGCTGACCCTGCTCAGCAGTGTGTTTGCTGTCTGCGGCCTCGGCCTCCTGGGCATCTCCGTCAGCACCGACTACTGGCTCTACCTGGAGGAGGGCATCGTCCAGCCCCAAAACCAGACGGCTGAGATCAAACTGTCGCTGCACTCGGGGCTCTGGAGGGTCTGCTTCCTGGCAGGTATGGTCTCATCCCGAAAGCACCCCTCAGTAAGGTGATGTCTGGTGGGTGTCAGGGTCATACTGTGGGAAAGGGATGGGGAAAACCAGGATTTTTGGAGGCTTTGCGCATCTTTGTTTCCAAGCTCAGGCAGAACCTTTGACAAGTAGCACCATGTCCTGGGTTTAGCAGTAGCAGTCATTTTTCTCCTTCTTGGTAGCTGGTACAGTGCTGTGTTTTGACTTTTAAAGGGTCTGCCCTGTGCCCAGCTTTAATAGTCAGATGGATAAATGTGCCTTTGCAAACAGGCTTTGGGTGAGTTTGCTGCTGCCATGCCAGACCCCACTGCTGTCCCTCTCCATGCCACAGTGCCTCAGGCACCAGCTCAAAGCTTTCATCTTTTTTCCTCTAAAATTCAGATTCAGGTCAGCTGGACCATTCCCTCCATCCATGCCAAGATGGATGAAGTGGCTTGGCTGCAGGAGCTGAATAAAATCCAAGGGGATGGGAATCTCAAAGTGACCAACCTGAAATGCCATGAAGTTTCAAGGCTGCTTTGGAAAAGTTGGGGGAGTGAAAAGCTCTGATAACACCCCTGGGGTGACCTTAAACCCTCTGCCTTGACATGTTTTTGTGTACAAGGGGAGCCCTTCAGCACAAGAGAGATGGTAGTTAAGAGATGTCTGTAGTTATGGTCTGTGTTGCCGCAGGTGAAGAGCATGGCCGGTGTTTCACTATTGAATACATCATGCCCATGAACATCCAGCTGACGTCTGAGTCCACGGTCAATGTCCTGAGTAAGTGATTCAGTGGGGTCTTACCTGTTGCATCCCACAAAGGGTCACTAGAGGTCCCCTCAAGAATCCTCTGCGTCCTTGCTGAAGAAGCTCCTACTTCCTTGGCAGTGCTACCATGCAAGGATGCAACTACATTTTTTACTCCATGAATCACCCAATATGCGCCTAAGCTTTTGGGAACATCACTTTCTAATGGGAGGATGCTCACAGAGGCTCTAAGCTGCACAATTTCCTGTCACTGGCTATTCAGCACTGATGTTTATGGAAGTGTTTGGCTTTATAAGTCTCCTCTGTAATTTGCAGCTGTACTTATTCTGTAACAGTCAATTTCACACATTACACAGTTGGGTGAATTAAGGATGGGGTGTCACGGCTCTCACAATGAATTCTGTGGTCATTTCTTATTTAGTAGCTAAGCGTTCAGCAAACAGTTTTATAGCAAAGCTAGAGAGGAATGCAGGTTCTGATGGCTTTCTCCTATGTCAGACTTCACACAGACCCTCAGAAATGCCAACATTAGCAGCCATTCCCACAGCAGCCAGAGTCACCTCTTTACTAAGCTCATCAGCAAAGAGGGGAAGCCCTGCCAGGGGCCAGGGAGCAGCACAGAGGCACTCACATTAACCAGGAGCAAGGAAGGATGCAGGGTGTTCAGAGAGCAGGAGGGATGGAGCCACCTCACAGCCAAGCCTGTTTCTCACAATGTGGGGAGGATTGAGCCATTGTCCCTTTGCTCTGCTCCTCTCCCATCAGAGATGATTCGCTCTGCCACCCCCTTCCCTCTGGTCAGTCTCTTCTTCATGTTCATCGGCTTCATCCTGAGCAACATCGGTCACATTCGGCCCCACAGGACCATCCTCGCCTTCGTCTCGGGGATATTCTTCATCCTCTCCGGTGAGTTCTTCTGTCCAGGTTTAATCCTGAAAACCCTTGAGCATGGAGCACGTTTGCTTTCACAGGTGCTGGTGCTCTCCTAACATACTGGGGTGGCTCCTCATTGCAGTCATCACCCACAGGGGCTTCTGGCTCAGCCCTGCAGCCTGATTGGGCTTTGCAGGGTGGGCAATCACTTGGTTGAAAACTCCTTTTTGGCAGTGGTGAGGAGATGCAGGAGAAAGCACCCAGCACTCGTGCAGAAGGAGGTGCTGGGGGAGAGGAGGCCTCTCATGGCACGTCAGTCTCACATCAGGAGAGGTCTGAAACTTCTCCATGAGTTTCACACTTTCACCCACAAGTCAGGTCTTAAACGAAGGTGCTTCTTCAGCGGCTTCATCCCTGAAGCACTTCCCACTGTCCTTCTCCTTGGTTTCTCCCCAGGTCTGTCCTTGGTGGTGGGGCTGGTCCTCTACATATCCAGCATTAACGACGAGATGCTGAACAGGACCAAGGACTCGGACACGTTCTTCAATTACAAATATGGGTGGTCGTTTGCCTTCTCTGCCATCTCATTCCTTCTCACAGAGGTAGGTAGCAGCCCTCACATCCCTGTAAGGAGTATATCCTGTTCTTAGGACAGGGGGGTATTGAGGCTGTTAGCAAAAAGAGGACTCAGACAGGGTTTAAGGGTAGGATGTGCAGGCAGAAGGGTAATATACAGTAGTATTAGATATATGTATAATACTATTATTATATCTATTATTATATATATAAAACACTACATAGATACATAGGTAGGAGACATACAGCAGGGTCAGACTCCAAGCCTGGAGCACTAATGGGGTGTTTGATCACCATTTGATGCCAAGTATGAAATGCAGAGGAGGAGGAGATGTGGTTGTGTGGATCTGAGGCACAGGGCAGCGAAGTGACTGTTCTTAGGAGCCCTCGTGCACTGTCGGCAGTGCAAAAAAGAACAGCTTGTATTCTTGTCCTGTACTGGTGGTGGTGAAGAAGGCAGCTGTGAGCATCAGGCCGTGTCTGTCTATCCCTGCAGAGCGCCGGGGTGATGTCCGTTTACCTCTTCATGAAGCGATACATGGCCGAGGACATCTACAGACCTCACCCCAGCTTCTACCGTCCCCGTCTGAGCAACTGCTCCGACTACTCGGGGCAGTTCTTGCACCCGGACGCATGGGCACGGGGACGGAGCCCTTCGGATATCTCCAGCGAGGCCTCCCTGCAGATGAACAGTAGCTACCCTGCTCTGCTCAAGTGCCCCGACTATGACCAGATGTCCTCGTCCCCGTGCTGAGCCCCACCAGCCCTGCGCCCGCTCCCACCCAAGCGCCGATGGTCGCTGACTCCGTTTGTCATTGGTTTTTAGGCCACTCTTTCAGAGCAATTCTCTATTTATAGGAGTGTAAATATAACCAGGGAGATCGGTTATATAACCAACCATGAAACACAGAGAATTGGGATATTTTCCTTTGGTTTTGTGGCTTGTTTTTCTTTTCCTTTTAATTCTTCCCTGCATAACTAAAACCTTTCCAAAGTCCTTTTCCTTCAGCTCATCCTGCTGAGCAAACAGCAGTTCTGCCTGCGGGATAAATCCACGGCTGGACTCAAGCAGAAAAAGGAAATAGAGTAGAACGAAAGGAGGGAAAAAGTGTAGTTTTTGGTTTAGGTAGGCTGCAGAAGTTTGTGCATTTACCGTATCATTTATTCTAGATTCAGTGGCCTAAGTGCTAGCAGGCATCAAAGATTGGTGTAAATCTCCAAGAAAGAGCCATCATTAGAAAAAGACAATCTTCACTGATTGTATCTCTCATTGCCAGACACCACTATTAACCAGGCTGTAATGGGAAATAGCCATCCTTCTCAACTATACCTCAGCAGGCTTAGACACAAGCAGGCTGTTGTTTCTCTATGGCCACTTGCAACCTGTTGCTTAAATATCCCATGTTAGACTGGAGGCACTACAGCCCTGCGGTGTTCAGGCTCCTGCAGTGGCTCAGGCACCCACTTTCTTCCACTATCCCATAGTCTAGAGGTCTGAAGAGCAATAGGGAGAATTTCAGTGCAGCATCAAGTGAAGAACTACTTAAAACCTTCCCACAGGAAACATCAGCAGTTTAGGAGAAATTACAGCCTGAAGTGCGAGTTATTTCAATGAAAGAGATCCCAAACCAGTGTAAAGTGATGTAGCTGAAATTAATGGCACTAGTAGTGCAAAGTAGTTGGCTTATAGTTCATTTTGGCAAGAAAATTGTATTTTAGTTGCTTTTTCTGTCTGTGTATAAACCTTATTTTGAGGTTTTAAGTTGTAAATTTCATATGACGCCTTGGCGTTTTGGTCTTGGACGGCTGGCAGAGTGAGAGCATCACTGATTCAAAATGAAGGGCAGGGAAAAGGCTGGGCTCCCTCGTGTATTCCTGTGCAAGCCATGAGCTTGTCACCTGCAGGAGAAAGAGCTTTGTCCCAACTTTATTTCTATTCTTGTTATTTTAAGCATTTCTGAAAAAGAAAACCCTTCTTTGGGGATTCTTGGTATATCTGAGCTTGTTTCGTCTTACTGTAATTAAAACAATAGAATATACACACTTTTAACCTCATTTGTAGCATACTGTGTAATGGGCACTGCACCTCTTTGTTAATATTTAATGTTTCATATTTAATATTTATAAGCTACTCCAAAGGAGGGTCCAAGCCCTGGCACTGTTTGCATCGACTCTGACACCCATCCCATGGGACCTCACTGCAGGCATATATCCAGCCAACTCTTTAACAGGATTATTTCCTCTCCAGTTGCTTCAGATAAACAAGTAATGCATATGTAGTGTCACTGACTCCTAATTTGCTAAGTTTTAAAAACAGGGCATCTTCTTGTAGACCCAGTTGTATTTACCCTTACTTTTCCTATTACATACAAGCATCTGTGTTCTCATTTTAAAACCCCGTTTGTAAGTGCTTATGAATGAGACAGGTTTGTTGCTGGGAAGGTTCAAGCAGTGAAGTACAGCCCAGGCACATCATCCAGCAACAAAGCATGTTGATCCTCATCTGTTTGCCCCAGCCAGATTAATCATGAGTTTTCCACTGGGATCTCTAAGTTTGGTGTGAATTGGGCTTCAAGAAAGCCCTGAAGTTCACAGGTGATGATCTTGCATTTCCCAGAGCCCAATACAGTTTGTTGGGCTTGATGTTAGCGGTTTCTGGTGGCTTAGGAATGATTGCCTTTGTATTCTTCATAAGTACAGGATTGCCAAAAGAAATCTGTCAAAATAAGCATTTGCTGTTCATTCAGTAAAGGCTGATTTGGGGCAGGAAAATGTGGTGCTTTATCAAGCCCAGGCAACAGTGATGTTGCAGTCCCTCTAACAGTGCCTGGCATGGCAGCAGCTCTCAACATGGATGGTTATGGGCCTCTAATTGCAAGTATCACACCTTCATTGACTGTGGAGAAACTTCTCCAGAGTTTCTGAGGAGTGGACACATGAACGTGGTGGTGGTGGTGTAAGTGAGGTAATGGGGTGAGCTGCAGAGCCCAGCCAACACTGGGAGGTCCTTCTTCCCTGAGCATCACTCCGAGGTTGACATTCTCCACAGCAATAAATGCTCAGTAAATAGATGTAGTACCCCCTTAGGGCACCTACTCATTATTTAAACACCTCTCATAGTCGTCTGCTGTGGTTTCACACAGGTTGTGCCACATCCTTCTCCCCTTGAGTAACCTCCCTGTTGCCTCCTTTGGCCCGTCTCCCACCCCTCTTTCAGTGCTGGCCTCCTGCTATGTTCTTTCTGAGCCTGTTGCTTGGATTGTGATAAATAAAAAGTAGAGTTTGAGGATTAAGTAGCAATTAAATTAGGGTCCTTGCATTCGCCCAACAGGCTGAGTCAAGCTGCTCATGGACCCATAGGAAGGTAATTGCTCATCAGACACTTCCCAGAAAGTTGTTTGTGCTTAAAAGCAAAATCCTCTTGCTTTGCATGAATGAGTGATTGATGCCAGGCTCTTTGTGCATGTGGCTGTGCCTGCTTGAACCATAGTGCTAGAGCAAATTACTGGGATTAAGGGTTAAATAAAAACCTGCCATGCACAGTTCACTGCTCAGGATTGCAGCAGGATGAAGCTGCTTCTGTCCCTGCCATCAGCCTCCCACCCAGCGCAAACATCCATTCTTCAGCCCTAGTGCCACATGGGTTTTACAGCACCAGGAGAGATGGATGGTAACTGAAGCAGCTGCACACGGGAGGTGAGTGAGCCACCAGCACGCACTGGTTGGGAAGACAGCGTTCTGAGACCTTCTTGGGAATCACTTGGGGGCCAGCCTCCCCCCACATTGTGTGGTTGGGGCTGTTTAAATCAAATTCTCTTTCTGTAAGCCCAGGGAAGCATCCTGTGGTCTGTAAGTCCCAGGATAGGAAAGCTCCTCTCTTCCAGCATCTCCCTCCCATCCCCAGGGTATGCTTTCCTTACTGCACCTTACACCTTGTCATTCCCATGGCCCCAGCTGTGATGGGACCCTGGTGGGAATAGGCTCCATTTGCTCATTAGTTAGGATTGTCCTGAAACCCTTAATTGAATCATGATGTATGGATGCATTAGATTCATTAGAGACCAATCATGAGCAGTAATTAAGTAGCTAGGAATAATAAGGCTGTACTGGGTCATGTTCTCTCTCAGTTGCTGCTGGAGCAACTTGTGGCTCCAGAGTCCTTTCTTGCACTGGGGAAAATGTATCACTTTATGTATATATAAATCATATATATATATGTATATATAAATCTTATTCCCTGCAGGGATGCAGAATAAGAGCATTGATGAGCTGTTTTGGCTGCTGGTGAAGCTGCTGCTGTGGTGATTTGAGGTTTGGGCAGATGTTCTGGGACAACCTGGTTCTGCTCTTGCCTAGGAGGATGACATGGAGCACAGGAGGGCAGGGGGAGAGCACATCCCTACAGCTGGGAATGAGCCATATGAAGCTTACTGTTGCCTCTCATGGACACAGGACTGAGGACCTGTGCCCTTTCATCAGCTTTGAGCAGGCAAGACTCACAGGTATTTTGTAAGGATGGGTTTCAGCCACTTATCACAGTCTAAAGAACTGACTCAGGAACAGTGTGTGCAGTTTGGGGGTTTCTGGTACACAGTGCTCTGCTTGCAAGTCCTTGTGCTGCATTATTAACACTATTTGTCAGGGTTGTGTATTCATTTTCCCAAATGTGAGCCCCATGGGCTATTCAAGGTGTGCTAAGAAATTAAACAGCCTTATTCCTACCTGCTGGCAGCTTGTTAGCTGTGCAGAGCTGGCATGCCCATGGTGAGGATGCTGTATGAGAAGGCAAAATATTCACCCAAGTAAACACTCTTCCACTAATGAGAAGTAGCTGAGAGATCTTTATTCTCTTCTTGCTCCTTCCTTATGAGGTGTATTTATTTACTTCCAATTCTTTTTCCCCACCACAAAAGGCCAATATTCAAACCTAACTAGAAAAAACAGCATTATCCCTCCTCACTTTTCTTGCCCAATTTCAGGGCCTTTTTTAGGGGTCCCCTTCACCCTGCTGCAGCATCCCTTGCTGCATGGGCCAGGTTATTTTGCCAGCTCTTTCTCACTAAGAACCATGTTATGTCTTTGCATTTTCTCTGCAAATAGGCTGCACCATGGCTGTCCTGCACACATTAAAGCTGTGGCTCCTTGCATGGGGAGCAGGGTGTTCACAGCACCCCAGTGTGTGCCAGCACACGTGCCCTGCCATGGTGAGGGTCCTCAGCTGACCTGTCCTTCATGCAGTGCAGGGTTTCTGTCTGTCATTGCTATGTAGATATCAAATTGCTGTTCCCATGGATACAGAAGATTACAGGAAAGGAAGAGCTGCCTCTTTGCTTTATCTTTATGTAAGGTTTTGTGTACCTTAGATGTTGGTTTGTGGCGGTTATAATGAGTAGGTGATGGCTGCAGCGATTACCCTGTGTATCTTCAATTGCAAACCAGACCCCTAGATGTAACACTTGAAAGGAAAGGAGAGGTGGCTCTGGGTAGTGTGGGACTATCCATCACCAGGCCCTTCACATGGCTGCAGAGTGTGGGATTAGCAAAATATATGCCCAGGTCACCACACTGATTTTGGTTATGGGCACTGTGATGCTGAATACACTGATATGCTGTGCCCTCATGTACCTGCAGGTGAGTCATGAAGGGCTTGTAGCCAGTCAGTCCCACTGGCTTGTGTCACAGATGATTGTACTGGCAACAGAGATGGATGAAAAGGAGATGACACTGTCAGCATTGCTGTGTTGTAGCCTGGTGCCCATTACTGCAGCAGCTGTGCTAAGTGTATAGCACCACTGTGCCAACATCCCTTTCGTTTTCACATCTCTTCTCCTCTGAGTCTGGTCAATTCAGTCTTCTAGCAAACTTTGTAGGGGAAAGATTCTTTATTATTATTATTATTATCATCATCATCATCATTTACAACCCAGAAAAGCAGTATTTCAATCAGAAGTTTAGTCCCACTCCTCTGTGTTTGCAGACTCCTATCCCAGGGGCTGTGTTTGAAGAACACATTGGCTCTACCTGGATGTTTTCAAGCCCAGAGCAGTTTGTACTGCAGTTTTCTTCAGGCTCTGTCTGGCATTTTTAATCAAAACATCTCAGAAATCCCCAAGCCCCACTCCTCTCTCCATTCCCAGGGATGCAGCTCGGTTTGCCCACGGGGCTGCAAGAGCCAGCACATTTGGGTTCTATTTAAACTGCTCATTTTGGAACAAGGTACCTGTCACCACCCAGCAC